ATTTCTTTATTTCAGGTGATTGCGGCAGTCTTATGAAGATTTGAATTTATTGCTGTTGAAATGGAGTATTATAGTTACATACCAATTGACCTTAGATTTATTCTGTTCAGGGTGTCCATTCTATCTTCGGAAGTCTTTCTTCTCATGGGACTGAAAGATTCTTCTGGATTTCACTAATTACATATTCAGGTAAATGCCATTTGTGCAACCATGTTTCCGTGAGCTTCAGCTCTTTTGAAGTGAAAGCTTCCTTGAGAATCTTGGTTATAGCAATTCCTTTCAATTTAAGCAAAAAATCCGATGATGCTTCAAACCAGTCTGTCCCCAAATGGACTTGGGGAACAGTGTCTAATAACTTCTTATCAGTGAGGTCTTTGGTCCTACCTTTGCTTGACTGCGTCTCAGCCAGACGAGGATCTTCTCAGGCCATTCCATTCGCGACTCAAGCACTGTATACTCACATTACATATAGGTAGTTCCAATGCCTTGGGAAACCGCCAATAATTAAACAATATGGTACTCTGGCTTATAAAGTTATGGAACCTTCTCTTGCATGAACTGGCTTCTATCTGGCTACCTGGAATATTTTGGTATATTCTGCCGCAAAAGCGACTTTTTACTGGCAAATATTACTCCTTACCAAAAGCAATCCCATGAAAGAACCCCAAACATCAAAATAATCAGATTAGAATTGATCTCAGCCCTGATCTCAGGGCTTCGAAGTGGCTAATTTTTCCAGTTACATAAATAAATCTCACCCACTGCACAAGCCCCGCCACCCCACCTAAAATTTATTATCAGGCCCATGATAAGATCAGATTATTGAAGTCATCTCTCCCCAATTCACATACCCACCAGGACTCTTGCAGCCACAGACAACATGGCCTCCTCTGATGAGACGGTTCTAACGCTCCGGAAGGTTCTCACCTCCGAGTCGGAGCCCCTTGCTCGTCGATTCCGTGCGCTTTTCTCCCTCAAGCATCTCGCGTGCCTGCAGCCCCCCACCGAGACCACGCTGCCCGCAATCGAGGCGATCGCAGCCGGCTTCTCTTCTAGCTCGGCTCTTCTCAAACATGAGCTTGCCTACTGCCTTGGTCAGACCAAGAACATGGGCTCGGTTCCGTTTCTCCAGCAAGTCTTGAACGACGCCGAGGAGGATCCGATGTGCCGCCACGAGGCCGCAGAGGCGCTTGGTGCACTGGGAGACGCGGGAAGTCTGGACCTCCTGATTTCTCTCCGGGACGACGAGAAGCAGCTCGATATCATTCGCGAGACGTGTGACATTGCTGTGGATAGAATCAAGTGGGAGACCTCGGATGAACGCAAGGCGGAGAAATTGAAGCCCAGGTATCATTTTACACTTTTCTCTGAATGCAAACCAACCAACCATACAAACCAAATGCTAACTCGTTCAGTGATTTTACCTCTATTGACCCTGCTCCTCCCCTCCCCATGGTATCAGAAAAGCCCTCGATTCCTGACCTGGAAAAGACCCTGCTTGACACCAGCCTCCCTCTCTTCCAACGATACCGTGCCATGTTTGCCCTGCGCGACCTTGCTTCCCCTCCCGACCTCCCCACTGCTGTCCCCGCCGTCGAGGCGTTGGCCAAAGGGCTCCATGACCCGTCTGCGCTCTTCCGGCACGAAGTTGCGTTTGTCTTCGGACAGCTCTCCCACCCGGCTTCCATCCCCGCCCTGACTGCCTCGCTCAGTGACCTGAATGAGGTTGGAATGGTGCGCCATGAGGCGGCTGAAGCCCTCGGAAGCTTGGGTGACGAGGAGGGCGTGGAGGATACCCTGAAGAAGTTCTTGAACGACCCGGAACAGGTCGTCCGTGACAGTGTCATTGTGGCGTTGGACATGGCGGAGTTCGAGAAGAACGGCGAGGTGGAGTACGCGTTGATTCCTGATTCTGCAGCCACTGCGGCTGTCTCTGCTTGATTTATGTGCATTTGATCCATGTCATGTCATGTCATGATGCTGTTTCCAGCCGATTCCTGTTCTATAAATGTATAGATATGAATTTTTAGGAAAAGCTTCCCATTTGATCCTTCACCTTGCATTTTAATCATTATAGAACTGTCCAAAGTAGCCACTTAACGCTGTATTATATTAGTCTTGATTTGGGATGTTAGCCAGAACAAGTGCCATATAGTCAATGCTCTCCCTTGGATAGATGCATAGGAACTCTTGTTTGTTGCCTTCCTGTTTGTAGAGGACAAAATATGGGGTTAGCAGGTAGATATTGACTAGATGACCTGTCTAAGAGATCTAGGCAGTAGCAATCCTGATGCTTTTACTCCATTGAGAAATTATATATTGATAGACCTCCAGTAAAGCATCCAAAGGCAAGGATTAGAAGCATGTTGTAGTCCTCTTAAGTGATTTAACAATTGGTTTGACTATTGCTGCTAGGCTGTAGGCGGTGGAGCGCGGCAGAAGTGCGTATTGGCGGGCGATTTTGGTTATTGCGTCGTCGATCGAGAGAACTTCAGATTACCTAACCTTATGGGCTGCTCTCACTTCACTTTCAGGGATCTCTTGCTGTCTGATGGTTATCTGCAGTCTGGATGCCGTCATATATAGCCATGTCTCTTAGTAGAGCATGCATGCCTCCCCGTTTCACTTTCCTTTCACCTGCAGCGCTCGCGCTCTAGACAGCTGCGATGGATCAAACCTGGCACCCGGCTGTCCAGGTCGTCATTAATGGCCCTTCCCAGGCGCCGGTCCACAGTTCAAATGGGCCATCTCAGCGTCTGGGGAGGCCGCTCCCCGTGGATGAGGCGTTGAAATACTCTCCTATGTCCAGTGCCCCAGTATTCGGTCTAGGTATGATTGCTTCCTGTCTCCGCATCTTCACTTGATATCACCTTGACCCTAGCCCTAACTAATGGATCTCCCTCTCTTGAATAGACTCCATCCTCCGTCCTGACGTTGGTCGATCGTCGAGTACTGCACCGATAAACCATATCATCCAAGCCGGACGCACTGTGATGAATGATCTGGACTCCGAGATTCGTTCAGGGAAGGAGGAGTCGGCCCGCCTGGAGACTTCACGTGAATACCTGCAGCAGTTGCTCCATGGAGACCAGTTGACAGAATTGTGAGCTTCATTACAATCGGACAAAGAAAGAAAGTTTATCCTTTGCTCACTGATATGTGCAGCAAGTTTAAAGCTCCCACTGGAGGAAAGAATATCGGCGCCCATCGCTCTAACTCTTCTATACCCGACGGCCCGCTCTCGGACCGAAAAGACCTGGCTCCTTTCGCGAAGATGATGTTGGAATCAACTGATATTGCGTTTCGATGTGAGTTTCCGACCTTTGGGAAGCTTCTGCGCTGCCCTGACAGTCCATAGATTCTACACCTACGAATGCGAAATCGCAATCTCAGCGGGCCGCATTCTCTCATCAGCCTACAATATCCGTCAACCAGCCCCCGTCCCAGTATCATAAGACTCCCCAGTTTCAGAGCCAACCTGAGGTTGTCATACCTGTCAAACCTGTATACATTCATTCGAATACACCTGGTAGCCCCAAAAGACGGAAACTGAACGGCGAAGGGGAGGAAGGTCTGGTAACACTTCGACTGAAAGCCCAGAAGGAGGAGGCAGATGCTGCATTATTGAAATTACAGGATCTGCTCCATGAGGTGTTTGAGGCTGAGGATAAGTTGGAGCCTGACACCTCTGCTGCCCCGACGAATTCGGAATCGTTTAATTCTCTATTCACTGGGGCTAATGCCCTGGAGACGAATGGCCTAATTCTTTCGTCCGATGCGCACACCCATTTACAGAAGGCGATGAAGAAGGTCGCGTCTTTCAAGAGGCTTCAGGACATTCCCTCGGACTACTTCAATCGCATCCAGAAGCTTTGTGAAAGGTGCATAATGCCTGCACAAACACCCGACTTGAAACTGGATGATCCTTCAAACGAAACCGAGTGCCAAGAATGGTTAAGGAAATTGGATGATATGTTCAACTCGCTGCTGGCGATTAGTACCCTACTCCTGACTATGTCTGGTCGACAGACGGAGCGTGGCCTTTGCCCAGAAGATCTTATCGAAGCAATCCCTACCGTCTTGAATCAAACCTTCGACAATTGCATCATTCCCGCAGTCGAGTCACGCCCTGGTGGCAAAGATGCGCAGTACTTTCAATTATTTGCGGCTCAGAAACGGACTATCGGGAACCTCATCCACCAGAGCAAAAAAGCGCTCACCCTTTTCGCTGATTTCATATCTCGAATCGACATCTCTGAGGGCACCATTACCGCCATCGAGTTCTTTGCTGCGAAACTTATTTTTGTCGAAAATTCTCACAACGATAAGGACTCGGCCGTGGGATATCAGAAGTATGAATCGCTGCGGCGCAGTGCGATGGACATACTCGCCAAAATATTTTCAAAATACCCTGTCCAACGGCCGTTTATTCTTGATGAGATCCTTGTATCATTAGAGAAATTGCCATCGACTCGCCAGAGTGCGAGACAGTTCAAACTTGTCGACGGCAAGAATATACAACTTCTGACAGCCTTGGTCTTGCAACTTGTGCAGACCACTGCCTTGGAAGCACCAAGCTCCCGGACATTTAAATCAAAGAGACAATTAGCAGCCCCGGTTGACGAAAACGGGAGCGAGGATGAGGACGACGAACTTCTCGGTGACGGCAAAGGTCAGGATTACAGTGAGTCTGATGAAGAGCTTTCTCCATCGGAAGCCTCTCTGGAGCGTCTCGCCACCAAGGTCAACCGGCTGTATGACAACGCCGTTCGCAGCGCACAGTACATTGTGAAGTTCATCGTTCAACGCGCCATGACCTCGACCAAGACTGGAGACCAACCATACCGAAACATACTCGATCTATTCACCGAGGATCTGATCAATGTTCTTGGTTCGACCGACTGGCCAGGAGCAGAGTTGCTACTACGGATTCTGGCTTCTCATATGATTGGTATTGCCGACCTTGACAAGAGTCCGGCCACCGCAAAAAGCATGGCCCTTGAGCTTCTTGGCTGGATGGGCTCTGCTATTTCAGACCTTGCAGTAACGGCACAACACTTGATTCCTGCTATGGAAGAGTCTGACAGCGACCTCACTGAATATTTGAGACAGCTATTTGATGACCATTCAAGGCGGGCCCTCCATGCCCAGGACCTCATCGTCCCGAACGGTCCATATCGCGTTACTCTTGAGTATCTCTTACAAGATCGAAGCTCAGACAATTGGCAACTTACTAGCGCTCGAGGCTACTATCTCGCCCAGTGGGCGAAGACAATTTGCTCCATGTATTACAATGCAGACGATAAGGATGAAATTGCACCGGACAGCAATGCAGATGAACTCGTTGATCTTCTCACTAACATGTTTTCGGATTCCAGATGGCTAGAGACTCATAAAAACTTTAACCTAGTCTCCAACCCTCATGGTAGATTCGCCTACATACTCACGGTGTTGAATATGAGCTTTTGCAAAGCGTTTGATACCATCCTCAAGGTCCTGCTAAATTCGATCACAAGTGATCAGGCGAAGGTACGCAGTCGCAGCTTGAAGAGCGTCATCTATATGCTCGAGAAGGACCCCAGCCTTCTCGATCGAGATGCCTCAGTCATGCGAGTTATCCTTCGTTGTGCCACTGATGCATCGCCTATGGTTCGCGACTCCGCATTGTCTTTGATTGCCAAATGCATAGTCCTAAAACCCGGTCTTGAAGAAGAGGGATGCTGGAGTATCCTTGCTTGTGCCGCTGATCCCACAGCCGGTGTGAGGAAGCGATGCATGGCCCTGCTGAAGGATATTTATTTGAGGACATCACGGACCGAATTGAGACTTGCCATTCTGGATAGCTTCCTCCAACGCACCGGTGATACCGAAGACAGTGTTGCAACCATAGCCCGTCAAACATTCGAAGAAATATGGCTTGCCCCATTCTACGAGTCCATCGATTCGGTGCAGGACGGACCGAGACTCAAGGTAGCGCTTGGGGAACAGGTAGATTTACTAGTCAAGCTTGTACAACGGAGTGAACCTGCTCTTGAAACCCTTGGTGCTTCACTGAAAACAGTCTTGTCAAGCAAGTCCAAGTCTGCCTCATCGAACTTCAAAGTCTGCAAGGCTATGGTCTCGATGATGTTTGAAAAGCTAGTGGAAGATACAGGCGCTCTTGGAAAAGAGCATCAGCAGGCTCTCTTGCAGACTATAACTGTTTTTGCAAAGGCAAATGCAAAAACGTTTAGTCCAGACCAACTAGAGGCCCTCCATCCATACATCGGGCATCTTGTGACTGCCGATGACCTGTTCATCTTCCGCTCTGTGGTTGTGATCTACAGTTGCGTTCTGCCATATCTCTCATCCTCTCACAATACGCTCTTGAAGGAGGTCCAAAATGACCTATTCAAAAGCGTTGCCAAACTCGGCCGTTCGGAGCTGAACGAAGTCATGGCGTGTTTGTGGACCATCAACGGTGTACTGCAGAATACAGAGAGGTTGGTGAAGCTCACGATCTCTGTATTGAAAGGGATCCAGCAAACCAGGAACGTCGATCTTTCGGACGCTGCCAAATCCGATGTCTTAGCCCGGGCTAGAAGCTACATCCGCATTGCAGGCTGCGTGGGGAAACACTGTGACCTTGAGAAGTATGAGCCTCACTTCAAAGCTGCGTTTCCGGCGTGGAAGGGTGGATCTGTGGCCGGATTGATGGTTGATGCTATCATTCCCTTCACACTCCCAAAACAGCCTCTCGAACTGAGGATTATGGCGCTTGAGAGCCTTGGCTCCATCTGTCAGTCCTGGCCGGCTCAGTTTGGCCGAGAGGAATCGAGGCGTGTCCTGTCGTTGGTCTTTGAAGAGGATAATGCCAACCTGCAGAACATCGTCCTCAAGGCCTTCGCTGAATTCTTTGCGATGCATGAGGGCAAGTCGGAGAAGTCCATCTTGTCTGCTGCTGAACTAGAAGCCCAAGAAAACACCACTCGATTGGGTGGATCACTTAAGGCCAGCGACAACGATGGAGCCGCTGCTCTGATCGCCCAACATTTCCTTCGGAACATGCTTCGGGTCGCACAGTCGCGACAGGATGCATATGCATTGACTGCCATCGAGCTGATTGCTAGCATCAACCGACAAGGTCTCGTCCATCCAAAGGAGTGCGCAGGTGTCCTTGTTTCGCTGGAGACATCGACTGTCGCCTCCATCGCCAAGGTTGCTTTTGACACACACAAAATGTTGCACCAGCAGTACGAATCCATGTTTGAACGGGAATACATGCGGGCTGTGCAGGAGGCATTCCAATACCAGCGAGACATAGTGGGTGATTCCAATGGCGCTCTTACTAGGCCATACACTGCGAAGCTAGGACCTCTGTTTGAAATCATCAAGACCAGCAACAGTCGATACCAGAAGAAGTTCTTGTCGAATCTTTGTTCCAAGGTCAATTTTGAACTGAGAGATCTCGACGTATCCGGCAGCCCGCCGGAGCATCTACTACTCTCCAGATTTGTGTCTCAAAATCTTGCTTTCCTCGACTATGGACAGTTGACAGAGCTTCATGCCACAATTGGGTTTATGGAGCGAATTGTGTCTTCCACTGGAACGGTTGTTGCCCACGCTATCGAAACTGATATCTTTCCTTCCAGGATTGAAGTGCCTGGAGAACCGGTCCAGTTCATGGTTCCCACGCCTGATCCGTCGGGAAACCCTCAGTTCTTACAGCCACCTCCTCAGAATCTTCGAGTGCTCGCCACTGCGGCAGCATCACTTTCGATGCTGTGGGAGGCTCGATCCTATCTTCGCCGTCTGTACGGTGTGAGCACCCATATCCGAAACAAAGACGGCAAGGGCACAGCGAAGGAGCTGAACAAGGCGCCCACCAAGGTCCATGGTATCACTGGCGACAAGTTCTGGGAGTCCATTGTGAGAAACATGACCACCCTTGACACCCAGGAGAATATGATTGCAAAGTGTCGCGAGTTTGCTACTCTCCTCGCCATCGACGACGAGTTCAAGGTGTCTGAAGAGGACGCTGACGGCGACCTCGATGCGCCAGGAGATGTCGACGACATGGGAACGCCGCTCGGCGCTAGCAATGGCAATCGCCCTGCAAAACGAAAGAATTCCTTCTCAGGATCCGTCACTCTGAAACGGCCTCGAGGCAGGAAGCCATCTGTTGGGAGGCGCCGGACCAGTTCTGAACCCGATGACGAACTGGCTTGGCAATGAAAAACCCCCTCCCCCCACGGTTGAAGCCCAGCGCAAAGATCTTTATTCCATCTCTTAAATAAATAGTTCTAATCTCCTTAGCCATTTCTACTGGCAGAGGTTTCTTGCTGGCACGACCACCGCCCTCTTAGTCGTTGCTTACAATTTACACGGGCGCTGGGAAGGAAGATACTTCTCATTCGTGCAATTCTAATGGATTACGAAAAGACTAGAGAATATACTTAACTGCTAATAAGACTTGCTGCCTTGTGCCATTTTGTCATTTCATCTGTAGATATTTTAGAGTAACTGTACACTGTACAGTGTACAGTGTACAGTCAGCATACCACGTGACCTTCTCGCACGAGACTGCAAATGACGTCGCCGTCTCGGCAAGACCCGGTTGCTTCCTCCCTTGTTCTCTCACCGATGGAGATAAAATCCCCTGATCTACACATGTGCTTTCACTGTGCAGTCTCCCAGTTGAATTAATTCCTTTCTTCTGTCTGCGCGGGCTGCGACTGTGTGCTTTGCTCTGCCTGGCAATTGCTTTTGTTGACATTCCACCATGAGTGCGGCTTTGCTCCGGAGTCGAGTGGCCAGTAGTACCACGGTAAGGAGGGTCGGGCTGCTGCCACATCGCTTACGGGGTGCAGGTGTATCGCTACCGGTGCAGCATGGCCGGTTACGTGCGATTCACGCTGCTTCTCGTCGCAGACCTGTCGCTGTCACACGGTGCCTAAGCCGCTGTCCGCCGTCGTATGGAGTCCGCCTGCAATCGTCGGTGTCGGAAGGCGTCGAGAAGAAACCGCGGTCTCGGGCGGTGACGTGGATGTACACGTTCTTTGCGTACAGCGGGTTCTTTATCTTTATGAGTGGTGCCGTGGTGGTAGCGTTCTTCGTCTACGATGCGACTACGTATCGCGAGGATCCGAGCGCTGAGGATATCCCTGTCTCGGAATTGGCGTTGAACCCCCGTCGTGGCGGACCCAAGGACTTGCCGATTGCGGAGTTTCTGGTCGGAGACCATGACTCGGAGCAGATGGCTGCGCAAACCGAGAAGCCCCGGCTGGTGATCCTGGGCACGGGCTGGGGCAGCGTGGCGCTGCTCAAGACGCTCAACCCGGACGATTACCACGTCACCGTGGTCTCGCCCACAAACTACTTTCTGTTCACTCCGATGCTGCCATCTGCCACTGTCGGGACGTTGGGGCTCAGGTCGCTGGTTGAACCCGTCCGGCGGATTGTACAGCGTGTCCACGGCCATTTCCTCAAGGCGGAGGCTGTTGACGTCGAGTTTTCCGAGAAGCTTGTTGAGGTTTCCCAGCTGGATGCGAGTGGCAACAGGCAGAACTTCTATCTTCCGTACGATAAACTTGTGATCGGTGTCGGTATGGCTTCCTTGGATTCTGCACGCTGGTTGCCATGAGGGGGTATGGCTGATTCTTGGTTTTAGGCTGTGTGACGAACCCGCACGGTGTGAAAGGCCTCGAGCATTGCAACTTCCTGAAGACGATCGATGACGCCCGCCAGATCAAGAACAAGGTGCTGGAGAATATGGAAATTGCCTGTCTACCGACCACGAGTGATGAGGAACGCAAGCGTCTTCTTTCCTTTGTTGTCTGTGGAGGCGGCCCGACTGGTGTCGAGTTTGCTGCGGAACTGTTTGACCTGCTCAACGAGGATCTACTTCACTCTTTCCCCAAAATCGTACGAAATGAGATCTCCGTTCACATCATTCAAAGCCGCGGCCACATCCTGAACACCTATGACGAAGCGCTTTCCAAATACGCCGAGGTGGGTTCCCGTTTTAAGTTGGTGAAAGCAACCATGGGCTAATCATTGGGCACTTCAGGCTCGTTTTGCGCGGGACCATGTCGAAGTATTGACGAATGCTCGTGTCAAGGAGGTCCAAGCAGATAAGGTTCTCTTCGAGCAGACAGAAAATGGTCAACCGGTTGTCAAAGAAATTCCGATGGGATTTTGCCTCTGGTCTACAGGTGTCTGTAAGTTTTCAGGGCGAAAATTGTCTGGTTGATACCTCAGGCTCACAGAATCATACAGCTCGGGCAGCGATCTGCAAGAAACTGTCTGATAAGCTAGAGGCACAAAACAACAAACATGCTCTCGAGACGGACTCGCATCTTCGACTGATCGGTGCTCCTCTGGGCGATGTCTATGCTATCGGTGACTGCTCGACCGTGCAGAACAACGTCAAGGAGCACATTGTCTCTTTCCTGCGTACCATTGCCTGGGAAAAGGGCAAGGATCCGGAGAAGGTGCACCTCACTTTCTCCGAGTGGCGAGAGGTTGCCAACCGGGTGAGGAAGCGCTTCCCCCAGGCCTCCAACCATCTCCGCCGCCTGGACCGACTCTTCGAGCTGTACGACATTGACCACTCCGGCACCCTCGACTACGGGGAGCTGTACGAGCTTCTGCACCAGATCGACACGAAGCTCACCTCGCTTCCTGCGACTGCTCAACGAGCCCACCAGCAGGGCGAATACCTAGGCCGTAAACTGAGCAAGATCGCGGCGGCACTGCCTGGCTACCGTGCCAACCAAATCGACTACGGTGACCTGGACGAGACGGTGTACAAGGCCTTCAAGTACAGGCACCTGGGGAGCTTGGCCTACATCAGCAACGCAGCCATTTTCGATTTCGGAGGGCTGAATTTCAGCGGCGGGGTTCTCGCCATGTACCTGTGGCGCAGTGTCTACTTTGCGCAGAGCGTCAGCTTCCGCACTCGTTGTATGCTGGCTATGGACTGGGCCAAGCGAGCTCTTTTTGGAAGAGGTATGTTGAATTTTTTGCTGCCTTCCTTCTTCCCTCCTACTGTAAGAGTCGATGGCTAACCTGGATGCCTCTTCCAGATCTCATGAGCTTTTAGATACCCATCAATTGTTTCTGTTACCTTTCACATGTTGAATAGGAAGACACCATCTACCTATTTGACATGTGATTTTTTTTTTCTCTCCTTTGTAATGATGGAATCTTGGGTCCCCCTTCCCTGTCTGATGTGTTATATATATATATCTACACCTATATGTTGTAGTTAAACCTTGCTTTCTCTCTTTGCCGTGATGATGTGGAAATGAAGATATGATATCAATAATATTGACTAGTCCCATCACACTGCTTTTCGACAATACCCAGGTTGAATCCTGGACGTAGTATAACTCGTTAATTGATGTGAAAAATCCAACTCACCCGGGGTAGAATACAGCCAGATGGTCTAGGATGAGGAAGAATTGATTCAAGTGTGATATGACACCGGGCGGGAACACAAAAAATAATTAACGCCGGGCCGAACGCCACGCTAGATGTAGCAACCAAAAAGGATATGGTAGAGAGAAGAGTACTGTTGATGGGGGGATGGGTTCAGGAGATCATTGGGTCGATATCGCCGTTGTTGGTCATGACGGTATCGTGGCCGGAGCTGTTGTTGTGGGGGAAGCTCGACGAGCCCAAGACATCATTTTTACCATCGCTGACAAGGCCGAGGTCGAGCTTGTCAGGGATATCCTTTTTATTGCTCTGCCGGGCCTTTTGCTCGGCCCAAGCGCGTAGCTTGACAAGGTTACGAAGCCGAGCTTCTTTACGGGCACCTTGACTCTGCAAGATGGCTTCATTGACGTTGGTGGCGATTTCTTTACGAAGGTCTGGGTGCAGCAGCGGCGCCAGAGACGGCGCCAGGTTCTCCGAGGGAAAAATCAGCAACGCCAGCGTGCGTTCCAGGTCATCCAGAAACTGTGCGTTTGTAGGAGCACGGGGTGCTAGTTGCGAAGTCGCAAATTCCAGGGCTGGACTAATATCTCCGTCAGGAGCGGAAGTGCAGGAGCGGATCAGTTCAATGAGCTGAAGCCGCAAGAGGGAAAAATGCAAGGAGGGATCATCATCCAAGATCTAGACCATATGATAATTAGCACAGATCAAGATGTCTTGAAGATTTTCAATGCAAACTGAGACCCAAATGGGCATGCGAATCATACTGGAAATTTGGTGATGTTTGTTTTTCATCAACGACCCCGAAGGGTTTATGAGTGGTGCATGAAAAACGAATATAATCATATCAAGGGGAGGGAGAGAAAAGATTTCAAAGAAAAAAAAAAAAAGCTTACCTGAGGGTTCAACTCGTTGATCTTCTCAATCGCAGTCTGGACATTGCCAGCATGGATTGCAGTACGGATCTCAACTCGCTCCTCGATCGAATCGAAATCCGCCTTTGGCTGAATATTGGCCTCTGCTGCAAATTTCTTTGCGGCAGCAGGATAACCGTTGGTGACCAGGTAGTCCATTACTAGATCATTGATGTCACTGGTAAAGTTAGCAACTCTACCCAATCTTTTTCTAACGAGATAGAAAATAGCAAATGATCGAGTTTCACATCAGAAACACAAGTTAAATATTTTTCCACATTGTGTATGGATTTTCAGAGAGATTCCCAACTTGATTTAAAAACATCATATGGAACGGCAGAGGGGGGGGTAGAAAGAAGAACAAAATCGTACGTACATTTTCGATGGCTTCACCTCCTCCATCTTCCGCTCGAACTGGTGCCATGTCGGCGTGGTGGTCGAGGGAGTCGGCGACACCTGCGTCCGTTAAAACCATGCTGCAGTGCATCCCAGCTCCGGACACGTCGGGAACCATACAAAGTTCGCAGAAGACATGGTGGGGGGCCACACGGTCGTCGACAGACGCCCTTAGGATACAGCTGGGGTGTGCAGAGGCTGTCTGGCTAGCGGAATAGCTTCGCAGACAGAAGCCATGAGGTGGAAAACCGCAGAGAGAGCCGGATCGGCCTGTGGGAAGAGAAGAAGAAGAAGAAGAAGGAAAAGGAGAAAACTCGCTTTAAGCTGGAGCCGCACAAGCGAGCGGTCACGGGCCCGGGCTAGACTAGAACAGGGCTAGCGCTGATAAGCGGCCGTTTTGCACTGTTTGCATCGTTTGCTCGCGTGCTCCTGCCTGAGGACTCCAACGGCCGTTATTATTTCACCAACTGATAAGGTAAGTGAGAGAGAATCTTGAACTTGGGCGTCTGCGCTGGGCGGGGCTTGCCTGGCGATCACGAAGAAACTCTGCGCTCTGGCGATGCCGAGGACGCCTGGCTATCTTCAGCTCTGCTAATCTCTTCTTTATCTGGGCGGTAGGCTGTATACGACCGAGTCGTATCGAAAGGAAAAATGGAGTCGACGCCGCCGGTGTTCTCTTCCTCTACCAATGTCGCCCAGTACTCTCCGCCATGGGAAGACCTGAAGATTATTGGAATCGCTGGCAGCTCCGGCTCCGGCAAGACCTCGGTGGCCATGGAGATTGTCCGGTCGTTGAATCTGCCGTGGGTGGTGATTCTCGTAATGGTATGAGAGGACCTAGGCTGGATACGCAAGCTATGACGGTGTATGATCTGACTGCTTTGATGTGTAGGACTCCTACTACAAGACGCTGAACCCGGAGGACCATGCCAAGGCTCATGCGAACCAATACGACTTTGACTCTCCAGATTCGATAGACTTTGACCTCCTTGTGCAGACGTTACGAGATCTGAAACAAGGGTATTGTAGCCGTCTTCCTTCCACTGGGGGGGAATTCTTGCATCAAGATATGTCTGGCTAACGGAAGTCGGTTGTGAAACAGGAAGAGGGCCAACATCCCCGTGTATTCCTTTGCTCAGCACCAGCGGCAGCCGCACACAACTGCTCTCTACTCGCCACACGTGCTGATCTTGGAGGGGATTCTTGCCCTCCATGACCCGAGGATTGTAGAGATGCTGGATGTCAAGGTCAGTACATATGGTGGCTGTTTTGTCTCTTTCTGTGCTGACAATGATCAGATCTTTGTCGAAGCAGACATGGATGTCTGTCTTGGACGTAGAGGTAGGATTGATCTTGAATGACATTTGTACAAAAGGGTATCTATCATTGACGAGCTATAGTTCTACGCGATGTTCGCGAGAGAGGACGAGACATCGAAGGGATCATCAAGCAGTGGTTCCAGTTTGTCAAGCCGTCATATAGGACGTTTGTCGAGCCGCAAAGGTCGATCTCAGGTGAGATGTCTTCCGTGAAAAGACCGATCCATGCGTCCTGACAAGGTGTAAAGACATTATTATCCCTCGTGGGATCGAAAACAAGACCGCCATTGGTATGATCCCAGTCAAGTGCCTGCCTCGCATGAATATAGCTAATAATCTAGACATGGTGGTCAAGCATATCCAACGCTGCCTGTCCGAGAAGTCCGAGAAGCACAGTGCCGAGCTTCGCAAGCTCCGTAACATTGCCGCCGAAGAAGAGTTGTCACCAAACGTGCTCGTCATGTCTCAGACGCCGCAGTTTACCGGCATGAATACCATCCTTCAGAACCCGGACACGGAGCATGTCGATTTTGTCTTCTACTTTGACCGGCTTGCCTCCCTGCTGATTGAACGGTATTTTAACCCGTGTCTTTAACCCAGTCCTTTTCGGGTTACTCGTGTAGATGAATAACTGATCTGTGACAGTGCATTGGATTGCACGGACTACGTCTTTTCTGAAATCAAGACCCCCCACGATAACAGTTATCAAGGCCTCCACCCTGCCGGAACGGTGTCCGCCGTGGCCATCCTCCGCGGCGGCTCCTGTCTGGAGACGGCGCTCAAACGCACGATCCCGGACTGCATCACGGGCCGGGTGCTCATCCAGACCAACGAAAAGACCGAAGAGCCAGAACTGCATTACCTCAAGCTGCCTCCGGGCATCGAAACCCACGCCACCGTGCTGCTCCTCGATCCGCAGATGGCCAGCGGCGGAGCCGCCCTGATGGCCGTCCGCGTGCTGGTCGACCACGGCGTCGACGAGGGGAAGATCATCTTCGTCACCTGCTCTGCGGGCGATGTCGGCATCAAACGCTTGACTACCGTCTTCCCAAGACTGAAGGTTATCGTCGGCCGGATCGCCGAGGAGGGCGAACCACGATGGATGGAGAAGAGATATTTCGGATGTTAGGGAATATATGGGCGTTTCTATTCTCGAGAGTGTAGGAGGCTACATTATATATGCATATATAAAAGTTATTAGAATAGAAGGATCTTCTCAAGTAGTCGAGTTCTGTTCTTCTCTATCGCTTATCGCTCGCACGGACCATCAAAAAATCGCCGACGTCTGGTTTCGATACCGAGAAAAATTATCCTCACATCATCTTCTATTCAAGCATCCCTTCATTCATTGTCTTTGGAAGAGAGGTATTTATCCATCCGGCAGTTTATCCCCTTGTAGCCTGTCCGTCAAAATGCCCGAGGAGAAGAAAAAGGCCAAAGGCCGCGGCAAAGAGGCAGGCTCAGTGATCAGTACGACTCACCTGCTATTTTTTCATGACTTTGTATTTTTTTTTTCACTAACTGTTGTTTAGAGGACCCTCGATTTTCCAATATCCAGTCAGACCCGCGGTATGCCCTGCCTAGTAAACGGCAGACACGCGTGAAGCTCGACAAGCGGTTTGCGCATATCCTGCACGACAAGGATTTCTCGCGCAACGCGGCGGTGGACCGGTACGGGCGGAAACTGGCGAGAGATGATACCAAGAAGCAGCTTGAGAAGTTCTACCGGTTAGATAAAGAGGAGGAGGAGGAAGAAGAAGAAGAAGAAGAAGAAGAAGACGAGCTTGAAGATCTCGGCAGCGACGTCAGCGTCGACAATGACGATGAGGTTCTGAAGGAGCTGAAGAAGGCCGAGCGTGTGGTTGTTGAAGACGGGTACGATCCCGCGCGGGATGGAGGGTTTTCGGCATCGTCGTCGTCGGAAGAAGAGGAAAGCTCGAGCGATGAAAGCGACGTGGAGGATGAAGGAGAGGAACTGGAGTTCCCCGACAAACAGCAGGCGAATGTACCTATGGGGGAGGTGACGGAGCGGATTGCCGTGGTGAATCTGGACTGGGATAATATCCGGGCGGAGGATCTGATGGCCGTGTTTTCCAGCTTTGTGCCTTCTGGCGGCCGGGTCGTCCATGTGGCGGTTTATCCGAGCGAGTTTGGCAAGGAGCGGATGGAGCGCGAGGAAGTGGAGGGACCGCCGAAGGAGATTTTTGCCACCCGAAAGGAGGAGGAGGAGGAGGAGGAGGAGGAGGATGAGAGTGATAACGAAGAAGAAGAGTTGGATTCCGAGGAGGAGGAAGACCGGATCAAAAAGTCGATTCTCAAGGAAGACAAGGGTGAAGAGTTCAACTCGACCAAGCTGCGGCAGTACCAGCTCGAGCGACTACGGTATTTCTACGCCATCCTGACCTTTTCGTCCAAGGAGGCCGCCAAGCACGTCTACGACCTTGTCGATGGTGCGGAGTACCTATCCAGCGCGAACTTTTTTGATCTGCGGTTTGTGCCGGACGAGACGGACTTCTCCGACGACCGGGCGCGGGACGAATGCAAGCGGATCCCCGACGGGTACAAGCCGAACGAGTTTGTGACGGATGCGCTGCAGCACAGTAAAGTCAAGCTGACCTGGGACGCGGACGACAAGTCGCGCAAGGAGGCGCAGGCGCGTGCGTTCCGCGGCAGTCGCAAGGAGATTGACGAGAACGACCTCAAGGCCTACCTGGGTAGTGATAGTTCTGATGACGAAGAAGAAGAACAAGATGATGATGATGCACAACAAACGGCAGTGGAAGTGGTGGACTCGACTACTGGCGGCAGCGTGAAGAAGGTGTCCAAGAAGGAGGCTGAGCGGCAGCGCATGCGGGCTTTACTTGGACTGAGCGCGGAACCGAGCAAGTCGTCCAAGTCGGAGGGCCCGGTGGGCGAGATGGAAGTTACATTTACGTCTGGGCTTGCGGGCAGCGCGGGCAACAAGGATACGATCTTCGAGAACGAGCCGGAGATTCAAGAGACTACGATTGAAAAGTATGTACGCAAGGAACGGGAGCGCAAGAAACGCCGCAAGGAGAAACTCAAGGCGGTGAAGCGCGGCGAGGATATCGACAGCGATGCAGAAGACGGTGATCCTGATGCTGCAGCTGGTGCAGCTGGTGCAGCTGGTGAGGAAGAGGCCCCGGTGGAAGACCTGGGGTTCAACGATCCGTTCTTCGACGACCCGGCGGGCGAGACGATGTCGACGGCGGCACGGCGCAAGGAGGAGCGACGCAAGAAGCGAGAGGAACGAGCAGCGGAAGAGGAGGCGGCGGCGGCGCAACGGGCGGAGCTGGAACTGCTGATGGTGGACGAGACGCAGAAGGGGATGAAGCACTTTGACATGAACGAGATTGAGAAGGCGGAGAAGCAGAAGAACAAGAAGGGCAAGGGCAAGAAGAGTAAGACGAAGTCGGCAGCAGCAGCAGCAGGCGAGACGGATGACTTCCAAATGGACGTGGCCGACCCTCGATTCGCCCGGTTGTTTGAGAGCCACGAGTTTGCCATCGACCCGACAAACCCACGGTTCAAGGCGACGTCTGGGATGAAGGCGCTGCTGGAGGAAGGACGCAAACGACGACGCAACCACGAAGACGGCAGCGAGCTCCAGAGCACGAAGAAGAGCAAGACCAAGGGTTCCAAGGGGGGATCGGATGATTTGAAGAAGCTGGTGGACCGGGTGAAGCGGAAGGCCGTATAACTTAGCACTGTATAGTGACTGCTCTTTAGTACTAGGTATACTTACTGTACTCCATTCGTATCCTGTTGACACGTCCTAACACTGTAGTTCGTATATCTAGTATATATCTAGTATATAGTATTGGGTATATACTTCGGAGGATACGGAATACGGAGGCGGAGGATATGGAGGATACGGAGGATACGGAGGATAGACCAAGTTACCGGTATATAGAATAGCCTATGACTTCCAACATCTACCAGCACATACTATTACCCGCGAAAGCTGATCGAGTATAATAACATATATAATATATATAATATATATAATATATATAATATATAATAATAATATAGTAAAGATATATAAAGATATAAAGATATATAGATAGAGTAAGTAAAGATAACCTCCGACAAGTACCGAGTCTCACCGCCTTTTGCCTTCCCTTCCTCCGTGTGCCACAAAAGGAATCCTCTCCCTCTCCCTCTTTCTCTTCCTCCCACCAGAATCCAACCTCCCTCCCTCTCCCACCCCCTCTCCTGCTCTCCACCGGCGATTCATCTGTTTCAGAACATCCGGTTCGGTCTTCAATTGACCTGTCTACCCTGTTCGCTGCTTCTGATCTCCCCTCGTACCCCGCGATCGTCTTGCCCGGTGGGACTGGGTCTGCACTCTGTCGCGTGTCTGCAGGTGCTTTGCGTGCCCCTCCTGGCCCACGTCTCCTGCTTCATCATATCCTGGTTTGGTTCTGCCTGGGGAGGAAGTGCCTGCAAGAATGCCTCTGCTTGCGAATTGAGTCGATCGAGTTCGGGGACTGGGTTGTGTGTCGTGTCGTTGTGAGAGTCGCTGTCGTCGTCGTCGTCGTCGTCGTTGTCAAACTGTCTACAGCTCGTCGAAACTCTGTCGAATTCTGTCGGATTTTGTCGAATTTCTGTTTCTCCCATCTCCATCTCTGGCATCTTCTTTATCATCTTTATCCCTTACAATGCTCGGTCGCCTTTTGAACACGGCCGCCTCGACCCTGAATCCGGGTGGGTATCCGACCCGCAATAATAATCCCACCCACCTCGAGTCCGTCACCGAAGAAGAACACACCTCGGGCCTGCTGTTCCCGGACGCCAGTCTCCTTCGTCGTTCCACTGCTCATGCCTATCCGTTGCAGTCCGGCTTCAATTCGTCCAATGCCTCCGTCGTCGGCGCCTACGATGACCGTGGTGGCTTGGAGCTCGATCCCGTCAAGGATTTCCGTGTCATCATCGCCCAGAACGCCCTGGGGGATCGAGATCCCTGTGTCCTGCTGGATACCCGCGTTGCCACCGACCACCCCTCCTCCTCCTCCTCCTCCTCCTCCTCCTCTGTCTCTCCCAGGGGTCTCGGCATCGAGCCTCCGGGCATCAATAGCGCCGCCCCCGCTGCCACCGGCGGACATGCCCGTACCTTCTCCAATGCCTCGAGAACCTCGCGTCGCAGCCAGCTCCTCGGCTCGCAGGCCTCCTCCATCATCGCAGACTCCTCCGACGCCCGCAAGTCTTTGCCCATGAGTCCCGCCACCGGTGGTGCCTTCTCCAGAGCCCGCGGCCGCAGTTCCACCTTGTCGCCGGGCGCCGCTCACCATGAACCCTACCACTCCCGAGGCGACACCAGTGATACCGGGCTCTTGAATTGTATCTTTGGGAGTAGTGTCTTCAGCTACCGCGGCTCGTCGACCAAGATGCACATCATCTCTGCCGACGAAGAGGCCGGCCTCAACAATACTCCCTCCTCCTCCTCCGCCTCCCATCATCTTACCTCCCCTCCAAACGGCACCGTCCGGGAGGTCGATTTTGGCAATGGATCCCTCCTCCGCAAGGACGGCCCCGTCCGCAGTCCGCTCTCCCGAGCCTACACAACGGGCAGCCAGTCCGGCTTTGTCACTCCGTTACCCAAGGGCGTCCCCACCGAGTCGAAGCAGCCCTCCAAGGTCACCTTTCTGGTCACCCGCATGTTCAGCGTCAACTTGCCGGAGACTGGCGACGCCTCAGTAGTGGCGGCGGCGGGGGACCGCGCCGACTACGCCACCTCCATCTACCAGGAATCACTCCCGGACTCCGGTTTCCCCTTCCCCGACGTCTCCAAACGGAAGAAGGTCAAGGAGAAGAAGACCCCCATGTACGCGGTCGCCATCACCATTCAAATCCCTCTCCTGGCTCGTAGCGCCGCCGCTCGCCCGGCCTCGCGATTCAGCACGCAGGGGCCTGACTCCCCCCGATTCGCCATGGCGTGCTCGCTGGACTCGGATTACCGCTGGCGCGGTGGCTTGCTTGAGGACAGCCTATCGTCCGCCTCAACGCCCGCCAGCCTCGATGAGCGCATCGACCTGTTGGTCGACCACTGGGACGTCATCACCCGCACTCTCTCGCACCTGGAACGCCTGGCCCGCAAGGAGATCCTCTTCCTGCTCAAAAAGGTCGATTCGCTGTCCGGCGGTGCGCACCCAAAGCCCGCCAAGCCCCCCAACATGCAGCGCACCAACCAGACCATCGTCCACCTCCCCGCCAACATCCTCGCCGTCAACTCCCGACTGAGGGAGGAAGCCCTGCGGAGCACCCGTCGTATCAGCCTCGCCCTCCAGATGCCCTACGTCGTGACCGGCCAGAGCCGCTGGGGGGTCTGGCGCGAGGAAGGCCGCTCCATCGTCCGGAGCCTGGGCGACAAAGAACACGGCTTCTTCTTCCTGGTCCTCATCACCGCATTCCTCGGCAACCACACCGAATGGCTCAGCGTCCTGGGCCCGGACTGGTATCGGAGACGCCACCACCTGCAGCAGAAGGCCCAGACCGCCGACGCCGACCCCGGCATCACCAGTCGCACCGTCATCGTCTCCCCGGACAAGATGACCGCCCGCCGCCTCATCTTCCTTCTGGCCGCCTTCCTCCCGGCCAAACAACGCTTCGAGCCCTTGCTACCCTCCCCCCTGCGACCGGGTACCTCGACCTCGATCCGCGCCGTTTCGCAGAGCCCTCCTAATAATATCCCCGTCCTCCGGCAGGAATCGCTCCGCCGGGCCATCGAGCGCCGAGCTCGCGCCCAGCGGTTGAACCTCGGCGACCGGGATCCCCCAACCCCTCACCAACGGTCTGTCAGCGCGTCCTCAAACGAAACCACCCATCGATCGTCCGAAGACGTGGAGCGGGCCTTTGCCGCCACTACTGACACTCTAACTCACCGGCGCGGGTCCGATGCCCGGTCAATCAAGACGCTAGGAATCGGCATGGGAGGAGGCGCCAAGGATCTGCGAGCCAAGAAGGCCGCAACCGCCACCACATCAACCACCACCCCCAGCAGTACGGTGCCAGTGCCGCACTTTGCCTCCCACCAGGCTCGCCCCGTCGACGTGGCGGCCGAGGGGTTGGACAGTCTCGCGTCGGAGACTCTCTTGCGGAACCTGAAGCGTAGTGAAAGTTCCGCGGTGAGCACCACCACCAGTAGTAGTATTCCCTCCGCCGGGGGTCGCTGGGGCAGCCTCTTCTTCTCTGGCTTGTTTAGTTCCTCACGCCAAGAATCTGGCACCGAAGACACCGAAGTCAGTCCTTCACTACCACCTCATTCCGACAGCCGCCGGCGGTCCATCTCCACCTTTCCCAGTTCAGCCAAGCAGAGGGCACCCACTCTTAGCCAGATGGTGAAGGAGGCGACAGGAACCACCATCCCCGAACATCCTACTGCCGAGGCTCCTACCACTACCCTCACTACCACCACCACCACCACCGCCACCACCACTACCACTACCACTACCACTAGCAATCACATTTCAATTCCAAAGCCACCCTACGCGAAAAGAGCGTCTCAGGCTGATGAGGAAGAAGATAATGAAGGTGGTACGGGCGTGGAAGGGGAGGGGGAAGAAGAGGAAGACGTACCTGGCTCCATGTCGTTACCTGACCACAGCAAAGATTTCCCTCTGAAACTGTCGGTGCGTGCCGAGGACGGGGTGGTCGATGTTGACCTTCCACTGCCCGGGTTTGTGTCGTTGTCCTCGTCCGGTGACTCGACCGTGGCCTCGCCGAAGAAGACCCGGACGTCAATCACGAGCATGGACGTCCTGGGTTCGACGCACAGCAGCTCCTCGGGCTTTCACTGCGCGCCCAAGGAGCACGAGGGCCCCAATATCAATGTGGGCGGCTGGTTGAAGGGCTTCCACGAGGATCTCCTGCTGCAGGCCGTCCGTCCGTACAACAACCTCGAGGCGGACATCAAGCGCGCCATGCAAGCCGAACCCACCCCGTACGCCGCCTTCAGCGTCGACGCCGATGGGTCCGACCGATGGGTAGACGTGGCCAGCACGCTGATCGCCGACACGCGGACCTTCACCGTGAAGCGCCTGCGTCTGCGACGCAAGGTACCCCTCCACAGTCGTCCGTTGCGCAGTCCCATCTCCCCGCCGTCCGGTTTCTCCCAGCCGGGAACCCCGCGTCATGTCTCCTCCGGCGGGCTGTCATCCGCCTCCCAGTTCTCGAACTTCTTCTTCTCCACCTCCTCTTCCTCTCACATGGGTGGTGGTGGTGGTGGTGGTGGTGGTGGCATTGGTAGCCGACCCTCAAGTTACATGGCCACCGCCGTGGCCCCCGATCCGTTTTGTGTGGACATGCTAGACGTCGAGGAGAAGTTTGTGGAGGAAACGGTGATGGATCTTGACGGCATCCTGGTCGACGCTGTGGAGCGAGTCCTGGCGCAGAGTGGACAGTCCTCGCTGGCACACTCGCGGGCGCCCTCACCGTCTCGCCACCGTACGGCAAAGGCCGACGAGATCCGCGGTGGCGGCGACGAAACCGTGCCCTCACTCGAGGTGCCCCGCGGGGAATGCCGCAAGACCGTCCTCGGCGCACTGGAAGAGGTGGTCCGCAGCGTGACGGCGGAGCATTGCCGCGAGGACGTCGACGGGGAACTCGGCCTGGCGGACAGGGAGCAGCGTCGCGTACAGGCTGGCGCGGACAATACGTTGCGAGAAGGCATTCGCAAGTGGCTTCTTGATATCGAGGAAGCTTGGTAGTGGTCGGGCACTGCCACGTTTTTTCTTTTCTTTTCTTTTCTTTTTTTCTGTTCAGACTCCGTGATACCCAATTATTATCTTTTATTAAGACTTTTAACCCTTTTTTTTTTCTACAGCAAGCAGCCAATGTTATGAATTCTTTCGGGAAGAATTAAAAGTACTCCATACAAGTAGATCTAAGCAGATATATGATTAGAGTTATAGCAGTAGTCGCTATGCAGACTTGATCCGCACCACCTTGTACCCCTCAGCACTATCTTGAGAGACAGTGACAGTCTTGAGCACGTCGTGGGTCTTGGAAGGGTCAACGATATCGACGACAACATCCGCAGTCAGCTCGCCGTTGACCAGGAACTGGAGGCCGGTGAGGGCATCACCCTCCGGGACGGCGAGGGAAGGGTTGAGAGGGGTGACGGAACCAGGACGGACGAGAATGGGCAGGGTATCGAAGTCGTGGGTCTCCGTGTACCAGGTGCCCGACTCGTAGGTTTTGGAATGGTCGAACCAGGAGACCCATTTACCCTGGGTGTCTTGCGGGGTGCGCGGGACGTAGAAGGTGACGCTGCCGTCCTCTGAAAACACCGGGGCGACCAGCAAGTTAGTGCCGAGCAAATACTGGGTGTCAAGGGTATAAGTGTTTAGATCGGCTGGGAACTCGAGGAAAAGGGGCCGCATGATGGGCAGGCCGGAACGATGGCCTGCCAGAGCTTCTTGGAGGAGGTACGGGGTGAGCAGGATCTTGCGTTTGATGCAGTCGCGCAGGACGGCCGAGCAGTCCTCGCCGTAGATCCAGGGGACGCGAAAGGAAGACGAGCCGTGCAGGCGGGAGTGCGACGACAGCAGGCCGAACTGAACCCACCGCTTGTACAGGGCTGGCGGCGGGGTTCCCTCGAACCCGCCTATATCTGATGCCCAGAAGATGTAGCCCGAGAGCATGAGGCTGAGGCCGCCGCGCAGCGACTCCGCCATGGCCTCGAAGGTGCTCTCGCAGTCGCCGCCCCAGTGGACGGGGAAGGCCTGGCCGCCGGGCGCCGAGGAGCGCGCAAACAGGAGGCTCTGCGAGCGGCCGTGGACGGATATCATCGTCTCGTACACCACCCGGTTGTAGAGTAGAGCGTAGTAGTTGTGCATGCGGGCTGGGTCGGATCCGTCGTGGTAGACCACGTTGCGGAAGGGGATCCGCTCGGCAAAGTCCGTCTTGAACGTGTCGACTCCCATCTCCATCAGTCGCCGCAGGTAGCCTGCGTACCAGTCGCATGCGGCCGGGTTGGTAAAGTCCACTATCGCCATCCCGGCTTGCCACATGTCCCATTGCCAGACGGAGCCGTCGGTGCGCTGGAGGTTAGCATGGAGAAGATATATGCAGAGGATATAGATATGCAAAGACATACCTTGATAAAGTAGCCGTTCTGCTTGCCCTGGTCAAATAGAGGAGACGCCTGGCCGACGTACGGATTGATCCAGACGCTGATGTGAAGGCCTCGCTCTCTCAACCGCTTCAGGTACCCGTCGGCATCCGGGAACATGTCCGTGTCGAACTCAAAGTCGCACCACTGGTAGGATTTCATCCAGAAGCAGTCAAAGTGGAACACGCCCAGGGGGATGTCCCGCTCGCGGAAGCCATCCAGGAAGCCGGTGACGGTTTGTTCGTCGTAGTTTGTCGTGAAGCCTGTTGTTGGTTAGTAGAGAGAACGAAACATGCAGTCACTCATGTCCAGAAACATACTCGTCGTCAACCACAGGTTGTAGCTCCAGGCTGGAACCAAGCTTGGCCGCCCCGTCAAGGCAGTGTACCGGTTGAGGATCTCCTTGGGTGTCGGCCCGTAGACGATGAGATACTCGAGCTCCTCGGCCGGCACGGAGATGTTGACGCGGGTGGTCCGTTCGGACTGCAGCTCGAGGCTGACCTTTCCCGGCGTGTTGACGAAAACACCGTACCCCCTGGAGCTGATGTAGAAGGGGATGTTCTTGTACGCCTGCTCGGACGACGTGCCGCCGTCCTCGTTCCAGATATCGACGGTCTGCCCGTTCTTCACCAGGGGCCCGAACCGTTCGCCCAGCCCGTACAGCTTCTCGCCCACGCCCAGATCGAGCTCGGCAAGCATGTACCCCTGCCGCTCAAAGTACAGGCCGTCTGCTAGCCGCGACTTCTCGGTGCGCTCGTCGCCCACGTACCCGATCGACCGGAACGAGTGGCCGGTCAGCTTGCCCTTGTCGCCTGCGAAGACAAACCCCAGCTCGTTCGCCGCCGTGTTGACCGTGAGTTCCAGCGGGCCACTGGTATACCGCAGGCTCTTGTTGGGGGTGTGATCGATCTTGCTGTGGCCGGACGACCAGTTGAGTTTGTAATGGGGGCCCTTGTCGAGCTGTCCTGCCCTTGTTCAGTCAGTGTTGTCGTCTTAATCTAAAAAGAATATTCCATATAGTAGGCAAACCTACCAATGCACCAGTTTCACACCGATGATACCCTCCAATGGAGACGTCACTTTTGCACTCACAGTAGCTAACAGATCAGTTAGTATACTGTAATCCAGAAGACTGAATCCAGCCGAAGACCTACGTGAGTTCAATGTGTCGCCCCGGTGTCTCTGGAACTTGTTCAACAGCAGATCGACGGTCTCTTCCTTGACGCTCAGCCGCTCGACGTTACTCATCCAGTCGATCTGGACGCCTTGCTGATCATCCATAAGCCAATCCTGCCTCTCTATTTCACCCAGCTTCTTCGATACTCTACTTACCTCAAGGTGCCACATGCCATTTGTGAACTTCATTGTGACTTGAGCTGGCAGCTACCAATTCGTGACAATGTAATGATATAAGAAGAAAACACAGAAGAGGAAGAGGAGGAGGAGGAGGAGGAGGAGGAGGACATGCAGAGGACATGGCACCTTTAGAACTTCCCTCACGGGCCGATTTGCCAAAATCCCATCGCGTATCGAGCGGGGGTTCATTCATTGCGGGGAGGACATTGAACAGCTTGCCAGAGGGAATATGGATAAAGTGGCCGGGCCGATGGATGTGATGCCTTTTGCCTGAATGGTTGGGTTTTGGCTGAATTAATTACCCGATGGTCAGCATAAATGAATATACACTGGATTATACAGGAGGATCCCAAGAATGCCATGTTATTAATGGTACAAAAGTTCATTCATTCATAATATCCAAGAATAAGAGTACACTTCTTTTTTCTCGCTTTTTTTTTAATGCTAATCAGAGTAAAGGTCGTAAGCTGCCACTCCTCGGACTGTCCTTGTGGCTGACGCTGTCGGTACGGGTGCGCGCCCGCGCGTCCCACGGCGTCCCGTCCTGGGAGATGAGGCGTGAGCTGAGCGCCGGCGGCGGCGAGATGTGGTGGCCGACCAGGCTGGCGGGCAGCTCGAGCGAGGGGATGGAGGCCTCCATCAGCGAGGCTGTGGCTGGGCCGACCCTGGTGGACGCCGGGCGCACATGCGACTCGCTGTAGAACTGCTCCAGACGGGCGGCGTCGCTGCAGAAGTCGAGCAGCTGGTGCAGGATGTATTCCGGGGCACGGTACAGGCTCGGGGCATCTGGGGTGCCGGCGTGCAGATGCGGAGGGCCACCGCCGCCGCCGCCGCCGCCGCTGCTGACATGGGCGGAGAAAGGGCTCGCGGCGTCTCCTCGTTCTGGGACGGGCCGGAGGGCGGGCGAGAGACGTGGCGAGGGACCGCCAGCGAGGGGATCGTAGGTTGCGGCGCGCGGGCGATGTACCTCGGTGCGGTCTATCTTGGCGGCGTCGCGGCTGGCGGTGGTGCTGCCGCGGGTGCTCAGCAGCCGGTTAGCCAGCAGCAGGAAGTCACCGTCGTCGGTGATCTGGACGAGCAGGGTGCCGGACCGGTGGATGTACTGCGGGTACCGATACTCGGGCTTGCCCCAGGAATATGACACCTCCACGTCAGGCGGGTAGGCCGAGTCGGCTTCGAAGTCGAGCACAAACTCAAACTTGCGGAGCAGGGCTTTCTGGAAGTAGAGGTTGTCCGGTGAGCCGGGTTGGAGAGAGTGTAAAGACACCGACGACGACGAAGAGGAGGAGGTGACGTTCATCACCGTCGGCACGGGGGCCTTGGGCGGAGGGATCTTGAGCTGGATACGGAACGGCTGGCGGAACCGGGGGGCCCGTTCGATGGCGCAGACCTCGCTGATGGGCACCTGGACGAGCTTGAGGCCAAAGCGCTCGGCTGTCGAGCCCCACGAGAGCACCGTGTCCTCGATCAGCTTCGGAGTCGTGTTCATCCAGCCCAACTCGATGTGGAAGCAGTTCTCTGGGTTGTGCAGGCGGTCGTAGTGCAGATCCACGACCTCCGGCCGGTTGGATCGCTTGCGTGGATCGACGTCGTACTTCATCGTCTTGGAGAGTGTGATGGCAACCTTGTTCTTGGTTTTGGAGGGCGTGCCAAACCCCGGGGTTACGTGCGGCTGCTCGGTGCTGTCTGAGCGAGCATGGCTGGAGGAAGAAGGGGCCGCGGCGGCAGGCGAGTCGCGAGGGCGTTCCCCCGCGGGTGTCGAAGGAACCGACTTGTCGCTGCGTTTGGGGGGGAACCAACCTGTACGAGACTCGGGGCGGAAGTGCCGGTACTCGCTCGCGATCTGGTAGAAGTAGTTGCCATCGCGGAAGTTGTGGCGTTTCTCGACGTGCTCGAACAGGCCGTGTCGGAACAGCTCGTTGCCAAACTCCACGGCCTCCTCGCGAGTATCGATGTCCCGGAAATTCTGCACCAGCCAGGTGGTGAGCTCGTTTCCGATGAAGCAGTTGTAATGGAGGCGCCAGTGCCATCGGCGGTCCATCAGCCGCACACCCTTCTCCCCCTGCATGATCTGGGCGAGCGACGACAGGCTGATGTTGGACCGGTCCAGCAGTTCCGACTCGGGCAGCAGCTGGGCGGGCGGGTTGTCGAGTCGCGGGTCTGTGAGAAGGATCCGGTCCAGCTCTGCCGCCACTATCTCGGACGGATTGCGCGTCTGGTAGATGATGTCCAGCGGGTTGAGGCCTCTCTTCTTGTTCGAACCGGTCTCGAACCGCTTTTCTTCCGGGGCGACGTACTTGTATCGTTGCCACATATGCGTCAGTTGGCTGATCCCCAACAGATGGATTTCCTCCTCGTTATCCTCGCCGAGCGACTGGTTGAACGACTGCAGGTGGCGGCGGGTGTTGGCATGCAGCGGCAGCGGAATCAACACGTACCGAGCGCGCCAGAACTGAAGCTGCTGCGAGGGATTCATGAGGTAGTCCCGATGGCCGGCGGTATAGTTGTCGGCGTAGTTCCAGTTGTATTCTTCGACCGTCGATTCCATGCGGATATCCTTGACCTCGTACTTGGGGCTGAGAATCGTGCGAATGGCGGGCGAGTAGAGCGTGAAGTTGTTCTTCCTCTCCCCGATCAACGAGGTCGAGGCCCGATGCGTGTAGCGGGTGACTTCGATCTCCCCTCCGTCGACACACACGAGCCGGTGGATGGCGTTTCCCTTGGACAAGAAGACAGTCGTCCCGTCTCGGTCCAGGCCGCGGTCGTCAAACACATTCACCGTTTCCAGCGTGTATTGGCCCGTGACATCCGCCAGGTTTCCCCCGACCACGAGCTGGAAGCCATGGGACAGGCGAAGAGAGATCATCTCGCGCAGGAGCGCATCGCGCGTCTTGGGGGCCTCGATGCCTTCGGAATCCTCGTTCGGAAACACCCGGTAGGGAGTTTGGAGATAGTCACACGTGAGCTCCGTCGCAGTCGGGAACTCCTCGGTCGTGATCGGCAGCACTGCAGGAGATTTCAGACTCTTCCATTTGACCAGTGCAACATGCGGCGGCCGCGGGTATGCATGCTGCCAGCGCCCAAACCAGCTGGCGTCCCGGAAGACCTTCTTGTGGGTACTGCAGGGGTCGATGGAACGAACCCACGGACTCAGCGACTTGCTGGCCAGGCTCCTTTCCCGGAACCCAGCGTTGACCGGCACGTCGAATTTGAGGCTCTGTTGCCGAGGTCGATGGTCCGTCAGATGGTCGGCTCGGAATGGGACGTCGATTCCAGGCGGGGTGGAGAAGGATTCGCGGATGACTGAATTGTGAGACTGCTCGGAGTCATCCTGGGATGGCTTCTTCACTGGAACCTTGATTGATATTGGCCGCGATGGCGTGATGGCAGTGTCTTTGGCCAGCTTCTGAGGCGTTCCCGGACGGGGCGACGACACCTCTATGACCGTTGAAGTCGACGCAGTATCCGAGGGGCTGAGCGACTCGACGCTCCTGTTGTCCGAGAGGGTACGCGCCGGTGACTTGAGTTTCGTGGGCAGAACCTGTGCGTGCTCCACGTTGACCTCCGTACTGGCTTGCGCTCGCGGAGGAGTAGCGCTGAGACCCCGAAGAGCGAAGCTGATGGTACGGGAGATCCTCGAACCGCGTGGCGCCGGAGTCGTCTTGAGGGCGGGCTTCTTGGGTGAGGGGGGTGTAGGAGTAGCAGTAGTAGTAGTGGTAGTAGTAGGAGTAGTGGTAGTAACAGTAGTAGATACAGGACTCTTCGGAAAAGACAATTCCAAGTCCACTCTGCCGCGAGCAGCAGCCTGCGCTCGCTCGTTCAGATGGTCTTCATGTTCCCGTAGTTTCGATATCGCCCGTGCAGAGACCCGCTCATGCACCGCTGAGACGACGACCTCCGGTTCGCTCGGTCGTTTTGATTTAGAAGATTTTTTCGTAGCGCGGCGTTTGGGAAACGGGTGGAAGACTGCTTCGTCATACTGGTCCATCCAGGTGAGCATGGACTTTTGGGATTTCTTGGAGCCAGGAAGGAACATCTCTTTCGAGCTGGCCATGTTCTGAAGGAAAGGCTCCGGGCGTAGACTATCGCTCAGCTGGGCCCTAAAAGAGGAGGAGCTGTGTCTATAGGGAGACTTGGCGGAGCTGAAGCTGGTTGCATTTAACATCAGCGCAGAGCCGGGCGTTCGGCTCGGCCCTTGGCCTTCGGAGAGGTACGGAATGGAGATGTTGGACTGCTCGCTCTCCATCACACCCATCATCTGAATCTCGTACATTCGCACCCTCGGCTTGAAAAGCTTTGACTGTTTGGTGATGGTGAATGGAATGGGTGCGTTGGGGTCCTTTTTTTGCAGCCTCCTGGCTTCTCGGTACGTCTCTGGGTTCCAGAACGAGATATCCAGCCAGTGGGGGATGCCATAGCTCCAATCCTTTGGCTTTGTGCTGTGCATTTCTCGGGGTAGCGGGTGAGCCAAAGGATCATAGGATCCTGGGGAGAGATGGGATGATCGGCTGAGGAAGCTGGGACTTGCATGGCGAAGGTCTGGCGAGAGCTCCGCACTATGAATGCCACTAAACGAGGGTTTGGGCGGCTGGGGTGGGCCTGGTTCCCGGTATTTGAAGAGTGGAACGGAGTGCAAGGGCATCGGGCTGAGACAGACTAGATCGATGGCGATCCCACGGTTTGTGAGAGCCTCGGTGGTGGACGCGAGAGAATCGTAGGAGACTTCAAAGACACCGCTGCCAGGCGTGATGACGATGATGGAGGTACCGGTGTGTATCATGTCCCGGTCGAGATGGTCAAAGGCAAGGTGAGCCGAGGCAAGATGGATCGCCTCGAGGATATTGCCGCGCAGAGCGGTGCTTGGCCGTCCGGCAATCGACGCCGAGGAAGTCTGGGCGTCGCTGTCGTCGACTTTATGGAGCGAGACGTCTCTCAAGAAGGTCCGGAAGTCCCGTTTTAATTCGTCCAAGATGGTTGTCCAGTGACCGCTGGCCATATCGTTGACCACGACGCGATAGAAGTCCCTCGTGGGGACATGATTCGGGGTGGATATGCTCTTGATACTCCCTACGCTGAGGGTCGACAGACCGGCTCCCGCCGAGGCATCGTACTCGACCCTCGTGAAGAGGACTATGGTAACGAGATGCTTGGCGTCAATATTTACCCATCGTTTGAAGAGCTCCGGGAGGAAGCCATTGATGACGCGGCTGAACAGGATGTCACCCGTGCCCTCGGAGTCGAAATCCCACATCTCCCTGGACATCTGGATGAAGAGGACGTATTTGGCCGACTCGCTGCGGAAAACCGGGATGGTATGCGGCGAGAAGTAGCCCGAGAGCACCTTCTTCCCACGGATGAAAATGGCCTTGACAGTGGCGCGGATGGTGCCCATGAACAGGATCTTCTGACCCTTGTACACGACTTTGTTGACCAGGTCTGACATGACGAGCCGCCACATGTCAGAGCGGACCAGGAACTGGTCCCGGAAGGAGAGTTCCACATGGGAGGCGGCGCACTGGGCGCGCTCGACGATGGACAGCAGCACGGGGGTCCTGTTCTTGAAGCCAAAGATATTGGCAATGCTGCTGGTGACCGAGATCTCCAGTTTGGGATGCCTGGCGAGGATCTCCGGTGGCAGCGGCTTGACGACAAACAGACACCGGTTCTGCAACGGGGTCGTGAACTTGGAGGAGGCTGCCGCGGCGGCCGCGGCGGGCCCCGTCCGCGTCGAAGACCGCTCGACATGGCTTTCACGCGCCGAGCGCACGCCATGGTCAGGCTTCATTATCGCCGACGGCGAGAGGTGCGCGGCGGCGGCACCGGTGGCCGTCTCGCCAGGCCCGCGATTGGGCAGGATCTCCACGACATCGCCGACGCGGACGTCGGTGTCGGTAAAGGCGGCCGGGTTGAAGAGGACCTCGTCGCGGGCGAAGGACTCGTCGTGCACCCACAGCGTACACGGCCTGCGGTTGAAGCCCGCCAGGGAGATGCGAAAGGGGCGCGGGGGCCCCCCGTCGGCGATCGGTTCGGGCATCTCGCTCGTCTCGCGATGGGAGGTACCAAGCGATCGGGCGGTTGAGAGCGAGTCGAGGCTCGCCGCACTCACCTGCCGCAGGTGGGAGCGCTTCATCGGGCCCCTGGGAGCCATCGGGAAGCAGGTTCTCCGGGCCCCTGAATCAGATTCCTCGCATGGCGACGAGACGAAGCGTTGGCGATGCGTCGGCGGACGTTGAAGCGGTATGGCAGAACGTCACGGGACCTTTGTAAACGGAAGGCGGTAAAGATGATTATATAATGCACCGAGCTAACTGGAAAGAAGCTAGTCTCATCACATGATTTCTCCTTCCGAGGCCCAACGGCCAACTGGCGAACAGCAAGCAGGGGAACATTGGAAACTACTCGTGGTATCTGTCTCTGGTCGATGAAGTATCTCCTCTTAAAATATAAACGGACACAAAGCCAAGAACTGGGCCATGGAGGATGGTATTGCAATGCCGAGTTTAGAGCCAGAGGAGCAGGAGACCGCCATCTCCTCTCCTAGTCTACACAGATCGACAAGGGACAGAGACACGAAGCAGGCGTATATAAAATCCAGCATTGAGCCAAGGGTATTGTAGCGTACGAGCGATGGTTGGGCCGGTCGAGGGTTTCTAGCGACCTCCGTATTCGACCTGCTGTCACTTACCACGACAAATGCGTGTTGGGAAACGTCTTTAATCCTCCTCCTCACTGCGCGAGTGTAGTGGTTGCCGTGATGAGTCTCGACTCTCCAGTGTAGCGAGCGACATAAGCCTCTCTCTTTCCTGCGTGGTTTCTCCGCGGGGACCCCAACATGTTTTTGTCTCCTCTCGCCGAGGCGATTTCGCAGTCAGCCGTCCTCAATGAAGAAAGCCATATCTATCGCCGGCGGCATCGTACTGTCTGTCAATTGGAATTTCCGAGACCGACTGCGAGATCGATCCTGGTCACGAAACCGCCGTTGTTGCCTTTCCGTTCCAACCCGGTGTATTGTCCCTCCTCGCTCAGCTATCTCACTCGGTACTGCAACCACTCTGTCTCGGGGGAAGAAGTAGTCATCTTCATGCGGTTGGGAACAAACCCGTTCTGAGGACGACGATAGCCTCGAGATGGAAAAGCCGAGAGCGAGTGATGGGGCACAGCCCAGACCGACGTGAGCAGCCAACCAATTCGTTAATTAGCAACTAGTTAATATTAGTTGCCCCAGCTCTTGACTCGGGAATTCCGCGGTGCTCGCAGGACCCTTTGTCGGAAGCCTCGACGGGCAGAAAAGCACAACAAACACGGTCAAACCAACCCGCCTTGGAAAACAACCCAGCAGGAAAACCGTGTGAGATTCGCTCCCTCCCCCCTACCGCCGTGGACAAACACTCGCTGTCAGGGGGGAAAAACGGTTGCCCCGAAGCGTGTCTGGCCCATCCGATTGGCAGGAATCCATTTCCGTACGCCCCATTCCCACTGGAGCCAGAATCAGCCACCGAGGCCGATCAGGGAGTAGGTAGAAGAGCAATAACAAAGCAACAACAGCAACAGCAGCAACAGCAGCAACAGCAGCAACAGCAGCAACCACGACACCAGGAACAGCATCAGTCAGGCCTTCGGGTGAGCTCTGGCACTCTGGCTCCGGCTGCCTCTTTTCGTCGCGGCTAAACGGATTAATCCAGCAGGAAACACCAGTCCCGGGGGACACAAGGTAGGCCTCCCGACACCAAAGAGGACCAGAGCCGACTCTTCCAGTCCCACCACTAAAATAATTGGCTCTGCCGGGCGGTCGCCCACACAGCACGTGCCTTCCGTGCCTTCCTCTTTCTAGGCACCACTTTCAGCCTCCAGAGCTCTCTCTATTCCGCTCGACGTCTTGCTGTCTGCATTCGTTCTCTGTTCCCTGCCAGGCTGAGGGGACCCTGGGGTACTCGCAACAGCTGTCTCTTGAGTAGCAGGGGAGAGAGACTCTGGGCTGTTGCTCGATGACGACAAAACAAGACGGCGAAACCGAGGGAGGGAGGAGGGGAGGGGAGGGGAGGGGAACGACCAGAGCATCCAAAGAAATCCCAGGTGAGGGACCGAGGTGAGTGGTGCTTTGCAGGCTCGTTGCTTCCATATGTTCTTACTCTCGATAGATAATATACCACTCCACAGGCCGCGGACAGACAACCTGCCAGTCGATCGAGTCATATACTTCTGCGTCGGAGAGAGGGAGGCGGTATGGTATCTTCATGACACTGTACACGACGGGGATTGATACAACCGCTACATGTGTGTGCGTATAAGCCTTGCCATCATATCAGCAAGGGTTCTTTCAAAACACGAGGTATTTTTTGCTGGTAGGATAGGGCTTGGTGAGTCTTCGTCTTGCCACGACCGATCGCTCAGGCAAACAAGTTTCGTCTCTGAGCGTCGTGGATGCTGATTCGTGCTGTCTTGGGCAACTGATATCCGCATCCACCCCCGCCGCCACATTCAAATCATTGTACATGACTATCTCGCGGGTAGAATCCTGCTCATGTTGTCCTGAGATGCTGCGCCTTCCCATAAGAAGAAGACACAAGACCGTCAACTTGTCTTCGAGTTGCCATGCTTCTTTTAGCATTGCTTGCCTGCTCCAAGACTTTCCCCACCAAAAATCTTCGATCTTGCCAGTCTAGTGAGGGTTCTGGGCTCTCTTTGAAGTGATCCATCGCGCCCGCTGCGGTTCGGTTGGGATCATGACGTGCGTGGTCGGCAAACGATATCTGGTGTACAGACCCAGAGACCGGTGCCTCAGCACCGTTCCATCTCCCTTCTGTCACACGCCAGTCATCCTTCATATGGAGGGAGAGAGCAGATGAGCAGCGTCGATGCGAATGGTACCGTTTAACGAGAGCTCCCGCGGAATTTCATCCCATTTATTTCCAGGGGCATCGGCGGTGAGGTTCACGTTCACGAGGGAGATGGTTTCAAGCGGCAAGCTGCTATCTCGAGACAAAGGAGGAATCTGCTCGGCATCTGTCAGCTGAGATTAGCATCAGCTGGCTCCCCAACAAGGTAGGTCGCCCTGCTCATTAGCCCGTCCCTGATAGCCCACGGATTCACCCTTGTGTCCTCAGCAGGTCGTCCACCAAGACCCTGACGATCCGAGGTTTGCTGTTTTCAGGGCAAACGGTACCCGGTTGGACGCTTCACTGTTGAAACGCGTGGTGACGCTGTCTGATACCTGCCATCGCCCGGCTTTCTCCCTCGATGGAAACTCCTAGAGGTCTGTGAGTGCAGCCCGTTGGCCCGGGTGGCTATTTTGCTCTCCAAAATACCGGCGAGACTCTTCTTCCTGTCCTGACAAACGAAGACCATAACCTCCCCCCCCCCGGCCCCCCTATGATAGTGTGGGCAAATGTATTGCCTTCCTTTCCTTCCAACACAAGACATCGAGAAACCGGGAGCTGGAAACTTTGGCGATTCGCTCTCCTTCACCCATCCATAGCTTGACAGTCGAGCTTATCAGACACCTCCGATGCTGCCTCGCGCTTCTGCGGGTCCTCGCAGAGCCAGGCTGGCTCAGGCTCCCTTGGACTGCTCGGCCTTGAGGTGGTCTGGCATGCATCACAGTATGCGGCCTAGCCCACGCCTTCGGACGAGCCACCACAGGAAAGAGGGGGAGGGGAGGGGATTATTACCTATCCAAAAATAAGACGAGAGAAAACACAAACGGTTAAAAGGACCGATAATAATTTTTCCCCTCGAAGCTTGACGACTCCGTCATTCATCTTACTATTCTTGCCCTTTTGACCGTGCTGGGTCCGTGCCGTTAACTCGCCTCGACGTGGCAAAAGAGAAAAAAAACACATTACGGCAGGAACCGTCAGCCTACTACCGCACTGTGATCTCTTCCTTCTCAAAGGACCTGGAATCGGCTCCAGACTCCCTCTGACTTCCCGAAGAGCTGACAAAGGGCCACCCATGCCCTGCTAGTTTTTTTTGTTTCAAAATAAATAGCAGGTTCTCGGGCCTGCCTCGGTCATGATCTAGGCAGACTCGTGCCTTTGTGCGTGTGTATTGCGTGTACCAACAAGCAATACCTTTTCCCCCCTTGGGTCGTGCCCACTACCGCCATCTACCAAGGGACCAAGAGCCGCGGTGGTAGGCGGAATTCCCTTTTTTGTCTTGGAAAAGCAATGGATGGTCCGAACCGCCCGTATCCTCCACGTGCTGGGAATGTTTCCTCGGACTATCCAGAAGACGACCTTCTGGGAGCCCGGGAATGGGTCTCATCTGACTACCCACGCGCTTCTTTCAGCCGGGAGCCTGCTCTTGACTCTGTTTCAACTGCTGAAGACCCCGCCGCCGCCGCCGCATCCTCTCATATCACTACCGCAGAGCGCTCGCAGAACTTCAAAGTGGCCATCCCCCGAACCAGCAACCCAACCAACTGGACCAGCAGCGGGCGTGTCAGTCGGGCTTGTGAAAACTGCCGTGACCAGAAGGCAAAATGCTCCGGTCACCGACCGACATGCCAACGGTGCCAGGAGGCTGGTATTCGCTGCTCCTATGGCGATCGCAAACGGGAGAGGACAGCCAAGTACGCAGGAATCCCCTTTTCGTCTTCGTTTGTTTTTTTTTTCTCTTTTTCTTTTTTATCCTTCTTGCTAGAACACCATTGCTCACTGTTGATACATCTAGGAAGCTCAATGATTTGGGAAAACAAGTCCTCACCTATGAGGCTCTCCTCCGAAGCCTCTACCCAAAACTGGACGCTCAGTCGGCCCAGTTTGTGGACAAAGTCATTTCCAAAGTGAGCGCGCGCCCTCAACAGCATCTCTCGTGTCTTATGTTTGCTAAAGAGCCCTTCTTTTCTTTTTCTTGCAGAACAGGCAGAAAAACGACCAGTCCTCCCAGCCTGGAGACACAGCAGCATCAGCATCCGCGTCCGCTTCCACCGTCCCAGATTTCGAGGCGATCAACCCGAGGCAAAGCCCCGACCCTACCGACACTCAGATGGCCTTCCCCCTGGGCACTATCGACTACACTGAAGAAGATTTCAACCGTGACGAGCGCGTCCAGGCTATGGGGTTCGTGGGCGAGCACTCGGAAATGGCCTGGATCTATCGGTTGAAACGCGAACTCGAACAGGACTCGTCGTCGACTGCTGCGAATCTCGCCCCGAGTCCGTCCTGGGAGAACTGGGACCGCCTCTCCGTCTCCTCTGTGAGCTACTTCTTGGATGATACTGAGTTTCCCTTGGTCGACACGGCCGATCCGACGGACCGGCCATCCCAGGCCATCGCCGATCAGCTTGTGGACTGCTACTTCCAGCATGTACATGCCACCTTCCCCATCATCGGCAAGGTCCTTTTCATGGGTCAGTATAGATCCTTCTACTCGAATCCCTTTCTCCGTCCCGGCAAACGGTGGCTAGCCGTCCTGAATCTAGTGTTTGCGATCGCTGCGCGGTACTTTCACCTGGTTCAGGAACACCTAGACGAAGACCTTGAAGACCACATGTTGTATTTTTCTCGAGCGTGGAATCTTAGCACGAGCGAGATTACCCTTCTAGACCACCCGAATCTACAACAAGTCCAAGTCGAAGGACTCACCTCCTTCTATCTGCTGACCACCGGTCAGATCAATCGGTAAGTCGACCTGAACACCCCCCCCCCCTTTTTTTTTTTTCTTCTTCTTCTTCTTCTTTTTACTTGTTTAAACCTTTAGCCCTCTGTCAGCCCCTCTTTCAAATAACTCTTTCTCTAATGCTGTGTGTTCCGATTATCCTAGGGCCTGGCGATTCTGTGGTCTTTCCTCGCGGTCGGCGGTCGCCCTGGGGTTGAACCTACGGAGTGAAAGCAATGCCATCATCCATGTCTCGAAAGAAACCAGATACCGCGTCTGGTGGTCCTTGTATGCGCTAGACACGATGCTTTGCATCATGACCGGCCGTCCAACGAACACCGGCGGCGATTTCTGTACCACACCCCTTCCCGTCCCTTTTGTCGAGGAAGACTTCTGGGATGAGCGGGTGGCACAGCTGATTACAGACTACGAAGCTAGAAACTCATTGCATGTTTCATCGTTTCCTAAGATCTCAAGTGTTACAGAGTCGACTGTCTTCAACCCTCCATCGAGCTCGATGGTGAGTTTGGGGGGAAGCGGCAAAGGGAAGCAGAGGGAGCAGGTTGCGTCGAAGGTCGCCGAACATCTTGCTCCCAACCCCTCGCTCTATTTTCTCCTCCTGATCGATCTGACGCACGTCACCCGCGAGGCCATCAACATGCTCTACGCGCCCGGTGCCGCTCCACGACAGCTGACGGACATCGAGGCCATCATTGCGAACCTCGATAGGAACGCGGATGCCTGGTTCGCATATTTGCCCGCCAGCTTCCGATTCACTGAGGCACCAGAGCTCCAACAGTTTCCCCGACTGGCCCTCGACCTGGCCTTCCGCTTCTACAGCACTAAGATTCTTCTTTCACAGCCTTGCCTGCGCCTGGTGACCCGCCAAACCACGGGAGCCAGCACCCCAAGCGAGTTCTGTAGCCAGATCGCCACGCAGTGTGTGGATTCGGCTTGCCGTATGCTCGATTTGCTCCCGGAACAACCCGACGCGAGCTGGCTCTATCGCCACGGCCCCTGGTGGTCCGTCCCGCACTACCTTACGCAGTCTGCCAGCATTCTCCTAGGCCAGATGTTTTCGCGTACGCAAGCCAATGTGGACAAGCCAGATAAGGTGCTCGAGGCATTTTCCAAGGCCATCAAATGGCTTCGGGAGATGTCCGCCCGTGACCCATGCTCCCATCGAGCATGTACTGTGTGCATCGAGATTTTTACCAACTACGCTTCGCGGTTTGGGGTCACAGCCGAAGGCATAGCATGAATGAAGTACCGCCCCGGCACTCTCCACCCTGGGTCAATCCCACGGCCTCCGCTCCTCCCTCCTCCTTGCTATCAACCAGGAGCAGTAAATGAGGACTTTGCATTGACCGTATAGATTTATGGTCGTTTGCCTTTCTTTCTTTCTTTTTTGTTTTTTTTTTTTTCCTTGTTTTTTTTTGTTTATTTTTCGAATTCCCTTGTTATCCCCCCCCCTCCTCCCTCTCCCTCGGTTACTTAAGCGCAGCAACGCTTCTAGCATACCTGATACCCCTCCATTTTTACAGAGCAGATGACTTGAAATTTTGGCGAATGCATACATATATACATACCTTGGATTGATCATCATTCTCGTCGGCACTCTTCAGTGCAGAATAACGATATCTACGTCTCGGGGGAGGGGGGGTTTCCTTCTCTTTTTTTTCCTCCTTCTTCTTCCGAAGTGCAATTTTCTGTCATTCATATCTTACCCCCCTCCTCCTTCTCCCCCTCTCCCTCTCCCCTTTTCCCTTGCTCAAAACAAGAACAAAAAAAAAATAAGATTTGAACAGAGAAGCCTGCAGACTCTCCACCTGGAAATCTGCATGTTTACCCATCTGGATGGGTAAATAACTAACTTCCTATCTGCCTTAGGTAGGTACTTCGGTAACCTGACAACCAAAACCCACTTGGCCGTGGTGTGTCATGATTTGCCAGATGTCACTTATCGAACTTGAGGAACGGAGTCCACAGGTAACTAACTAATTAGCAGCTGCCTAAGTACCAGGCTAGCATTGCCTGGCGTGTTCCCTGGTTCCATGGTTTACTCCGTACAGGAGCTTAACAGAGCTCCGTCCGACTCCGTGACGGACCTTTAAACCGACCTTGGTAACTATGAACGATGGAAACTAGTCTCGAAATTAGTTACCTAACTAGTTCATTATTGGCATGAACATGTCAATAATAGCCCCAAATACGGGGCTCGTAACCCGTCCTCCCACTGGACGCTGGTACGCATTGACGCATTGACGCTGTCAATCGCTGCGGCATTACATCACGATCGAATCAAGGCGGCCCATACTGTTCTCCCATTGCCGACCATTTGGCCCATTGAGGCTCTAAAATAATCATCGGCATGACCGTTGAACCGACCCGTCATATCAATTTCGGGCCAACAGTGGACGTTTTGTCAGATCTTGAGGATATTTATCAACCATAGAAAGAGGCTTTCACCTCGTCTGGGAATATGAAACCTCAGACAAGTCTGAGACAGGCAATCTGGCGTACTCCGTATATTTTTTTTTGTGGCGTCTTATCATCTCGGCCGCTTTCCGCCTCTCTCTCTTCCTCTCTCTTTCCTCCCCGGCTCCACTCCACTCCCTCTTCAACTATGTAGGTGCTTTACGGTAGTCAGCTTCCTTTGATTGTCTCTTGGGCTTGCGTTCCAGAACAGTCTTCATGGTCTTTCCTTGCTTCCATCCTTGCTGTCGAATTCTGCCTGTATTTTCTTTTTTTTTCTTTTCTTTTTTTTTTTCTTTGGCTGCTGCCCTCCGTCTCTGGTCCGTCCCCAAGACAGACGGGGAAAAAAAGAAAAGAAAAGAAAAAGAAAATAGAGGCAGAATTCGAGAGGGTAAGAAATGGGAGGAAAAAATCACAAGATGATCGGTTGATGGTGAGTCTTTGTCATGACTGCAACCGTCGTTGAGCTCTGCCCATGATCTATTCTAACATTGGGTATCACCAGATCATGCAGTCTTCGAGCAGCCTTGTTTCATCAAAAGAGGTTCAAAAAGGGACCACTGATTCAACCAGATGATCAGCTTCGTCTCCGATGACAGATACCTTGCAGTTAGAAGACGCTATCGACAAGAAATGCTCTGGGAACTTGGGCCCCACACACTTGTTCGGCAGATGGTTATGGTTTAAGATGACACAGTTAAGCTGATATTGAAGACAGGCCAAGCGACAACTGACTAGATTTGACTCCTCGAGCCTCCTTCCTCCGTTGATAACCAGTCCGTGAGCGATCCTCATGTTCACTCCAGTGCACTTCAGCCCAGGAGAGAGAGGTTGAGAGTATTGGAGTCTAAAATTGCCTCATCCTCGGTATCGTGCGACGATGTATTCTTGACTTGGGCAACTAACTAGTGACTCCTAACTACCTACCTACCTAGTTTAGTATCGATCGGCTCTCATGTGTATCCAATTAACAATCAAATGAGTTGATACGTCTCTTGAGGTGACTACGAAGTACAATAAGTACTATCCTTCATTTGGAAGATTGTCAAACAAGGAGGGACTTTTCTCTCCTTTAGCAGCACTTCCAATCTCCTCCATCATTCCATCTATTGACTAGGTATTATTATCATCGTGGTCCAGGCTACAGAAACAGGGTCTGGCGTAGTAGCCCTTACCCTAAGCCCTGACCTACTAAGCAACGGACACCACCGGACAGTGATAATGCCACATGGCAATCCGATTACAGAGTTCTCACTCGGTACGCTATACCCACTGGTTACAGGATAAATTTGACTAGTTGATCGTTGAGCATTTAGTTAATTGGTTAGTCTAGTTACTCTGTAAGTACCGACTGCAGTGGGTCGAAAGGGGCTCAGTAGTATGTGATAGAGGGTCCTAGGCTGGGGCTGCAATAGTATACTCCGTATACATGGGTCACTATGGAGTCCTCCGTACAGAGTTGAGTAACTAATTAGACCGGTCCCTAAAACTAACTACTAGTTACCTAACCTAAGCTTGTCAATCAAATATGGCGCTTTACTGTATCGGGGTCGGGATCTGCTGTCGGGACCCATTCCTTATTGCGGGTATTCCGATTATGGGTACGGAGTATATGGAGTACCAATGTCAGTGGAGAGTAGAGCACGTGTATTTACCATTTGGGCAAATACGACGGACCACGGAGTACCGGTGCCTCCGAAGGTACCTGCCCATCATACTATGGAGTACGGAGTACCCTGCTCGGGCCCCGGTATGCCGTACCTTCCTGAAACAGACTAACACTAACCTGCCCAGGTCACAGGTCACGTTTTCCTCAAGGCTCAAACGTGACCTGGGCAGGTGACTTTGGCGCTTAGCCAGTAGTAGTAATAACTAGTACACGGGCAACTGCCCAAAGGCAACAATCAGACTACAGAGTACCTGACGTCTTCCAACCTCACGACCTTTTTGTCTCTCACACAGTCTGGTTTGTTTCGCCCCCCCCCCCCTCTTTTACCTCACCTGGTAACCTCGGTTGTCACCATGGTTCGGCCAATCCCACCGAAGGCGGCGTCGGCGCTGGCGAAATCCTGCCGAGCTACAACGCTTGACAACGTTTACAACGGTTGACAACGCTCGAGTGATCGAACAGGAGGAGAAGAGAAGAGAATGGTGATAAGAGGCAGAGAAAGAAGAAGAAGAAAAAGGTATCATCCTCGCCATGTCACCGAAACGACGCGTACAGCCGGACGAGGAGGAGCCCAATGAGGTGGAGGTGATTGCTAAGCGGCAGAAGAAGTTTGTGGCGTATGTTGACGAGAGTGTTCATGAAAGAGATGGCTCGGTTTTCCTACTGACAACCAGGGTCTATAATTGCCAGCTGTCAAAGGTGTCATACCCATAAAATCAAGTGTTCGGGCGAGCAACCGTGCAGCAAATGTCGCCAGGTCGGCTGTGCCGATGAGTGCCAGTACGCGGCTCGAGACCGTAAGCTCCGAGTGAGCGAGGCGTACGTTGGAAAATATAACAAGACTGAAACAACAGAAAGATGTGCTGATCCGCTGTCTCCTGTAACTACAGTTACCTACAGAACCTTCTTGCAGAAAACCGCCGTCTAAAGGAACAATCGGTTTCGGGATCCACGACCGAGGCAAGCACTCCTCCTCCAGGCGCTGCCCGAGTACTGCTGCAGACACAGCCGTCACATACTACCGATCTCACCGATGAAAGCGGTACGGCAGTCACAAACCCACTGATCGGCGACCGGGCCTGGTTTCATCCTTACGACCCGGCGGCGCCTCCCATCTTCATCGGGGAGGCGGCATGCACGGCCTTTGCGACGCGGTTCCGCCGCTTTCTCACAGGGAGTAACACGACGCCGCACATCCGGCGGACGCAGTATGTGAGTGAGGAGGCGTTGGCGGCGGCAAACGCCACCCAGGTCCGCTGGCCTACCCTGCAGCAGGCACGGCTGCTTGTCAGGATCGCGTTACATCAGATCGGGCGGCTGTACCACATGCTGCTGCGCAAGTCGACGCTAGACAAGCTTGAAGAGATCTATCAGACCGGCGAGTTCGACTGTCCCATCAACCAGGGCAAATACTTTGCCCTGTTTGCCTTTGGCGAGGCGTACACCGTGCGATCGGAGCCGGGCATGGGATCCAAAGTGCCGGGGACGTCGTATTTTGCCCGCGCGTTGAGTCTCATCCAGATCCTGCCGGAGAGGACGAGCATGGTCCACCTGGAGACCTTGCTCTTACTGGTATGTTTTCCCCTTGGATGGCTGAGGAGAGAGAGAGAGGAGGAGGAGCTGAGACTGATGGACAGTCTCTATTTTCATACTTTTTGAATCGACGGCACTCGGCCTACATTCTCATCAGCAATGCAATGCGGCTGAGTCTCAATATCGGGCTGAACCATAACATCCCCGAATCCCAGCTTATCGATCCGGTGGAACGACAACACCGCGTGCGCATCTGGTGGACCATCTACATCTTCGACCGCGTGTGGGGGTCGAAGATGGGCCTGCCGATCCAGATCCTCGACGAGGATATCCACGTCGACATGCCCTCCGATATCCATCCGCCCGAGTTGCAGAAGGAGCAATTCTCCGACACCGAGTACTTCATTGCCAACATCAAACTGGCCCGGATCGCCGGCGACACCATCACCATGCTGTACAGCCGGCGAAAGTACACTGAAACTTTCTTGCAGAGGGTGCAGAAGCTGCTCAAGGCGCTCAAGAACTGGCTAGAAACGCTGCCGGAACGCATTCGTCTGACCACTGACGACGCGGAGACGAACAAGAAACACATCACCTCCCTGCATCTGTCATTTAATCAAGTACTTCCTCCCTCTTTCCGCCCTTTTTATTTTTATTTCTATTTTTTTTTTTTTTGCCTGCACTAACTCATCAGTGCGTCATCCTTGCAACCCGCCCGACGATGTTACATTTGCTGATTACGTTGAGTGAGCACGACGCGCATCCTCAAGACCACCCTTCCGACACCGTCTCGCAAGCAGTGCTGACGCTGGGCGAGGCGTGTATCCACGCGGCCCGGCACTCGCACACGATCATCCTGGACAAGTGGATCAATGGATCGCTACCCCCGTTCGGCTACTTTCATGCGCAGTATCTTTTCTCCTCGGCGTTGATCCTGGCCATGGCGTCGTTTGTTCCGCTCGGCGCCCCTAGTGACCTCGCCGCCTTCGAGACGGCGCTCGAAGTTTTGCGTTCCGTCAGCGCCAACGGCAATCTTGCCGCGCTCGAGTTCTTCCACAACCTCGAGCAGGTGCGTGCATGTCTGGGCACGTATCGCGAGGAGCGCAGGAACTCGGGTTCCGCCCGCCACAACGCCAAGGGCCACGCCGCAGCGGCCATCGGACCGGGAGGCGTGAGGGCATCCCCGGTGCCGAGCCCCCGGGGCAGCACCACCACCAACCCGCCGGAGCTCGACATGGCCCATGCCCTTGCGCCCGTGAATCCCTTCAGTGGGTTCACAACGGAGATGGCGTTTCTGGAGCCGACGATGCAGAATTTCCTGGCGCAGAGTGATTTTGACTTGGGCCTCATGCACCCGATGGACTCGCTGATGAATGACGCCGAGTCCTTGTATACATATTTGACACCGGCTTTATGGACAGAATGATCGTGTTGTACCTATATTGCTCTATGTATTTCCGCTATGCTTTTGTTCTATAATCTATGTCATATCATGACTGTCATGTCTGCTTTTTGCATCACTTGCTATCACTTTTCACTTGCAGTAGTGAACTTCTCCCCCCATCGCTGCATCTCGACTCCCCACCTGGTGATGGTCAAGACAAGGATGCCTCCGATGAGACTGAAAATGACGGCTTCATTATGTCAGAAAGGATGGTTTTTAGCAGCGTGAGAGAGAGAGAGAGAGAGAGAGAGAAAGAAACCCACCGATTGTAAATGTGAGTCCCACGCCTATGGAATCGATCATGGGCACGACGGCGGCGCTGCTTGCCGCACCAAAGATATATTGAACGATGTACTTGCCGGCGATGACTTCGGAACGTTGATGAGGGCGAACTTCTAAGAGCAGCATGAGTATCAACATAGAAAGGAGAAGGAGAAGGATAATGGAAGTACCTGCAGCGTAAGTGTTCAAGCCGTTGAAAGAGCCCATCAAGCCCACACCGGCGAAAAAGGCACTGATGATGGGAACAGGCATGCCACCGACCTCCTCCTCGAGGGTCCAGCCGAAGATGAGGGTTGCGACAGGCAGAACCAGGAACAAAGTGAGCAGGCCGCTGTTCAGACGGTCCTGGGGCAGGCGGACGCCGTTGCGGCGGAGGATCCATTTGCGGACGGCGCGGTCAGAGAGACGGCCGCCCACGACGCTGCCCACGAGAAAGCCCGATCCCGGGGCGAGGTAGAAGAGGCCGCTGACAAGCGCGGTGCTGAGATGGAAGCGCGGGTTGAAGATGGAGCGGGCAGAGGTGAGGATGGCGTACTGGAAGAAGGCGAGCAGGCCGCAGGTGAGATAGGCGAACAGCACGTTCGGATAGATCATCTGGCGCAGGATGCGCATTGGGTTGAACATGGCCAGCACAGAGGAGGGCGTCTCCTTTCCCGTCTTGGACTGCTGGATGGTTGGCACAAAGAGCAGGGACAGCGATAGCCCCAGCGCCGTCATGCCCACCTGCAGCCAGAAGATGATGCGCCAGTGGGCGAAGGTGACGATGATGCCCCCGATGCAGGGGCCTGTCTACAGTCAGTAACCATACCATTCAACCAGGAACTATCAGTATTTGTTTTTTTCCTTACCAATTGCAGGTCCACTGACCGATCCAACCATGAAGCAACCCACGGCCGTTCCTCGAACGAGCTAAACAGTGTCAGCAGTAAATACTAGAGGACTTCTGGGGGAAAATAAGATGAACGGACCGGCTCAAAAATATCAGCAAGGATGGTCTGCCCTGCGACCATGAAGAAGGTGCCCGTGAAGCCGCCCAGGATACGAAAGACGGTGAACATGGCCATGTCGACGGCCAGGGCGGCGCCGACGGTACACACGAGCAAGACGAAGATGGCCGCATTGTAGGCAGTGCGGCGGCCGAAGAGGTCGGCGACAGGACTCCACAGGACCGAGGAGAAGCCCATGGCGAGCAGGACGCCGGCATTGGTGATGTCGATCGCCTCCGAGGTCGTGGCCAGGTCGCTTGCGATGTTGGGGGCGGCGGGGAGGAGCGACGTGCTGCTGAAGGTCACCACGAGGGTCATCCAGGATACGATGAAGAGGATCAGCCATTTGCGCCAGGGGGGGAGCTTGTATCCTGATGTTGTTGGTTCTTGTGACTCTTGTGATTCCTGCCTTTGGTCTTCCATGTTGTCGCTGTGAAATTGATTATTTCCCATTGTCAGTGAAATAAGATGTAAAATTTGTTCGGCGAATTGTACACTTGCCGATCGGAGATCCGGAGTAGATCCGAATCAGATAATTACTAAGCACTCTATATCTATAACTACTAGGTATTATACTGTAGATCATTATTATATACCATCTCTATGTTCACTAGATTATAGACAAGCCATGAATTAGTCAAGCAGCTTCTCTCCCTCCTCGCTAGAAGCAACACTGGCAAACTGCCACTGGCGGATGCGATGGCCCTTCCACATCAGAAGCATGACGAAGAAGAAGGAAAACACGGCAAAGAAGGCCATCATGCCATAGACCCAGCCGACCTTGACAGCGGCGACCCAGGGGTTGATGTAGAAGGTGATGGTGAGGCCGTAGGCGATGCGGTAGGCGCCGATGACGATGCCGGCTTCGGCGGGGTAATGGGTGAAACACTCGACGACGTAGTTGACGGTGACGGGGACGGAGGAGAGGGAGCCCACGGTGACGAGGAAGACGGCGAGGGCGAGAACCATGTAGTGCAGATGATACTGGAGGGCGGCGCCGAAGATGCCCAAGCCGATGGGGTTGAGGATCAAGCTGGGCAGCCAGAGGACGTGGAGGCGGTACTCTGGTTTCCAGACGCCGTTGTTGAAGCGGCGGGCGAGTGCCAAGGGGATGGCGTCGTTGCCGTAGTGGCCTGCGATCTCGACCACGATGATGCCGATCCAGTGGCAGAAGGTGAAGGCGGCGTTCTGCTTGAGCGAGAAGCCGTACCCGCCTTCGGCGACGGAGCGTTGCAGCCACACGGGCACCAGGGCGTTCATCCCCACGTAGAAGCCGAAGGAGATGAGCGTGAAGGTGCCCATGATGATGGTGACGGGGCAAGCGCCGATGATGAAGGGGAGAGCGGCGATCCGCATCTACCGTTAAACAGACGTTAGTTGATATCTATCTACATTGTAGAATAGTCTAATGAGCTTACCGTCTCCTTCCAGGTGGTCGGCTGGACGATGGACTGGCCAAAGAAGAACGTGGCCAAGCGATTCGACAGCCAGGCGGTTGGGATGGGCGGGTTGCTGGCGAGGTCGGTACGGTCGAAGCCCGTCTCCTCGAGGGTGAGGAAGACGAGGATGGCGGTGGCGCCCAGTAGGGCGACGGTCCACCAGAACTCAATGGGGAAATGGGCGTCGGCGGAGATGAAGCCGGAGAAGGTCGGGCCTGCGATGGTGCCGAAGAGAAAGGACATGTGCAGCGCGGTGAAGGCGCGGCCGCGCTGGTGCAGGAAGAAACAGTCGGTGACGACGCGGGGGCCGACGACGGTGGGCACGGCGCCGAAGAAGCCGGCAAACATGCGCGAGAGGACGTAGGCGATGTAGTCGTCGCTGCGGGTCATCTCGGCGGCCCAGATCTGGCACACGAGGGCGCCCAGGATGCACCAGAAGATGACGCTGGAGCGGCCGAGCCGGTGGGCGACGGGGGCAAAGAAGAAGGGGCCTCCTGCCATGCCGGCCAGAGCGGCGGAGTTCTATCACTCAGTATTTTTTTGTTTCCTTTCCTTTCCTTTCCTTCCAGAAGTATCCATTCCAACGTACAGCATATGCCTCCTCCACCTGGGTCTTGCCGTAGAGCTTCATCTGCTGGGCGAGGTTGAGCTGGCCGGCCAGGGGGGCGACGGCGCCGGAAAAGGAGGCGAGACATAGCACGGAGAGCAGCAGGTATTTCTTCTGCGACGACCAGTTCTATCCACGAGAATCGTCAGTGTTTATGATCTCGATAGCAAAAAAGGCACAATTTTCTTTGAGCAAATACCAGAGGGTCTCGCGGGTCGTTGCTGGGATGGGGGATCAGCACGACGTGCGCCTTGGGATCGACCTGGACCTCGTCCGCCAGCGGGGTTGTCGTGTCTTCGTGGCCCATCTTGAGAGACAGAGACAGAGACAGAGACAGAGACGAAGAAGACGAAGGAGGAGAGGGAAATGAATTGACAGTGATGGGAGAGGAGGAGACAGACAGAGAGACAAAGCAGGAGGAGAGAGAGAGAGAGAGAGCTTAAGCTGGTCTGGAATCAAAGAAAAGATCTGACGCGTCAGTGTAGGACGGGCCAAAATTCCCGGTTATCAGCGAGGATCATTGGACAAAGAAGTGAAACTGGAGATAAATAGATAAATAGATAAAAAGATAATTAGAATAGGAAGATAGGCAGAATCAGGCCTCCAGCTGTTTCAAATATGTACTCCGTAACTGGTTTATCCTGGCATAATTCTATGGTTGGGTGCCGGGTACATTTATTGGCTTAGTGGATGTATGCACTCTCGAGGTACCTGACTACCAACTACAGAATACTCGATGGTAGAGTACTGTATTCGGCGCTTTCTTTGTGAAATCTTATATTTATATCTAGTCGAGTCATTATAGCAGTATTTAATAATAGTATAAAATAGTAATAGTATAGAATAGTTATATAAATGGCTGTCTGACGGAGTATACTGAGTACACGGAGTATACTGAGTACATAGTGATCTTTAATATTATATAAATAGAGATGTATAAGTATACTATGTAAATATATAGTAAATCTAGAGTATATCGTAGAATATCTCAATTGTCTCCATCTTGACTCTAACATGATATTTTTCTAATTTTATTCCACGTACAAATCTTTTTTTCTTTTTTCTTTTTCCCTTACACTAACAGGGATCCTCAACTTCTCAACTTCCCTCCTCCTCCTCCTCCTCCTCCTCTTCTCACCTCATCTCTTCTCACCGCCACTTGACACGAATCACTCATCATCATGGTAATCGTCATGGTAATTTCATGAATCATCTGTCATGCTTTGCTAACAGCTAATCCAGTGACTCTCCCTCCTTCATCGCCGCCTCGACCTGGGCCACCGCGTCCTCGCCACGCTGTAGCCATCTACCACCGATGTTGACCCTGGTATTCTCGAGTCTCAAAGCGTGCATCTTATCGAAGTTCTCGGTTTCCAGCAGGGCAAGCGCGAGATAATTCTTCAGAGCCTTCCGTGAGACGATGCGGTTGGGCGTGTCCCTACCGTGAACCCACGCCCTCTCCAGCAGGGGGATAGCCTCGTCGAATTTTCTCCGGCCACACAGCACTATTCCCAGCTGGATCTGACGGTCCAGCACCTGCGGGTGGTTGCCCCCCCGTTTCTTGATTGTCTGCGCCAGCACCTCGCGGCCATACGCCTCCGCCTCCGAGACAAGACCCAACATCATCGTCACTTGTATGAGCCGCGATTTGATCTCCAAGGCCTGCATGTTGTTCTCGCCAAAGAGGAGCTGTGAGATCCTCAACGCCTCCAGCTCGTTCTTCCGGGACTCGGGGTACTTCCTCTCTTCGTTCTGGTGGTTTGCCAGCAGCATCAGCGCCCGCAGCGTCTCCGGGTGATCGCGCCCCAGCTCCTGCTCCTTCAGCTGCACGGCCTTGCTGTACTGCTTCTCCGCCTCCTCCGGCCGGCCCTGCATCGCCAGGTTTTTTCCCAGGAGCTTGATCCGGGACACCGTGTCACGGTGGCGCTCCCCGACGATCTTGCGGCTGCGCTCGATCAGCTCACGAAGCATCACTTCGCCTTCCTTCAGATGACCCAACCCTCCCTTGATGTCCGCCACATGGGTCGTGATGTTCATCACAACGTGGTGGTCGCGGCTGTGCTTGTCGCGCAGTCGCTGCAGGTGAGGCTCCGCCACCTCCATCGCGTCCGCCCAGCGCCTCTGCGACTTGAGATTATTCAGTAGCTGGACTGTCGCCCGGTTGACACACTCGCCCGCGTCACTGTCCGCCGTATGGCTGAGCCGCAGCGCTTCGCGGTGAAAGTGTTCCCCCTCCACCAGCCGGCCCACGGAGCACAGGCAGTCGCCGTAGTTGCCTCGCATGAGGATGCTGACCGGGTCCGTCGCGCCGAACGTGCTGGCGGTCATATCCATGAGAAGGTGACGGAATTTCAACGCCTCCCAGTGGTTTTCCTGGTCCTCGCAGCTCAGCGCCAGTTGCGTGAGCTCGGTCACCCAGATCGTCAGGTCTTGGACCGTCTCAGGTTGCCGGTGCGTCACTCCCTGTAGGTAGAATTTCACCGCTTCCATCATCTTCCCCTGCCGTTGCAGCGCATCCGCCAGCACGCTCATCGCATGGTTCGTGTCCGTGTGCCCGAGGCCCTTGCGCCGCTGCAGCAGCCCCGTCGCCTCGCGGCACAGTTCCACGGCCTTTTCGAACCGCCCGCGGCGCGACTCATATTCCGCCGTATACACCGACAGCATCCCGCGTTCGGTCTTGTACCGCGTCGACCGGTAGCCCAGCACCACGATGATGTGCGGGTACAACGCTTCCCACAGCGCCCAGTTGTCGTACGTGTGTCCGACCCCCTGCGGGCAGAGCTCTTGCACACGCATGAACGCCCGCTCCTGCCATTCCTCCAGCGTGCGGCTCGCATGCAGCCAGCGCTGGGTCGCATGCTGGATCACCCGGTGTAAACTGAATGTATTGTATTCACTGTCAACGGTGACCATGGCCATGTCGACAAGGATGTCCTGCCGGGCACGGAACTCCGGGCCGCGTACACTCTTCCCCCGAACCAGGCGCTTGGAGACGCTGTGTCGGTCCAGTACAGACAGTAGGGACAACAGTGCCGCCGCCGCCGGCCGCTCGCGCTGGATCTGCTCGAATGAAATCTCCCACGCACGGAGTACGCACTGGCGAGCCACCACGTCATCGGGGCCCTTGTTGTTGTTGTTGGTGTTGTTGGCGTTCTCCTCCTGGCTCTGGTCAATGGCAGCTGGTGCGTTCTTCTTTGCCTTCTTCTTCTTCTTCACCTGGCTGGCCTCGTCTCGGAACCAAGCCACGTACTGCGCCACCGTCACCCGCGGCGCATTGTATCTGATATACGCCGCTGCGAGCTTAAGCGCCAGCGGAGAGCCCTGAAGTGTCTCGATCAAGACTGCAAGGTCGTCTTCTTCTTCCCTACCGTAGGTGCTGGAGAGAACCTCGGCCGGGAGGTCGTGCAGCAGGGCACGGGCACTCGGTTCCGCCATGGGTTCGATGCGTAGGATGCAGGATACATCCCGCGTGAAGTGTTTGGCAGCCAGGCGACTGCGGGAAGTCATCAACACGCATCCATGAGCGACGTCGGGGATATAGTCCACGACGGGGTCACAGGCTGAAGCGCGGCCCGTGGAGAGCGGCGTGAGCAGGAGCTTGGGGTCGTCGATCTCGTCGAGCACCAAAAACCAGGTCCCGTTGGCTTCGTCCTTGAGCCAGTTGACTACCAGCTCCATGTTGATGATCGCCGGGTCTCTCCAGGTCGGTAGTTTGTTGGCCGTTTGGGCGATATCGCGGAATCCCCCCTCGAACCGCTCGACCGTGTGCGCGTTTACCCAAAAGATATGACGATCCGGGTCCTCCGCCCGCAGCAAGTGACAATATTCGATGGCCATCTGGGATTTACTACCACAGTTAGTATAAACTCTTCCTTTTTGAATGCATAAAGGCAATCATATTGGGCAGAGCCTACCCTGCACCGCCCTTGCCCACCAAAGCAGCACGACGGTGGTCAGCAAAGAGTTTCCTGAGGGCATTCATTTCTTCCTCCCGACCGACGAGTTGGGCGCCTTGACCGAATGGGAGGTTGAAGCAGGCTTTCTTCGCGCCGAAAGTTTTGATGTCAGGCTTGCCTTGGGCTTTGGCACCATCGCCGTCACCAACAGGGGCGCCAACGTCGTCGTCAAGAGCCAGGTTCTGCATGTCCTCGTTCACCTGGTCGGTGCTATTGCTTGACATGGTGCTGATATAGGGTTCTCAAGAGAGGTTTGAGCAAAGAGCAACAGGATGACAATGAAATTCAATGAAACAAAGATCAAAAGAGTTTCTGGAAGGTGAAAGGAAAGATAAAGAGGGAGAAGAAGAGGAAAAAGAAGAAGAAGAAGAAGAAGAGGAAAAAGAGAAGTGAGAGGTGAAAAATTTCTTTTATGTGGTCATGTCTCGGCGTGTGAAGCAATATCGGTGGTGGTTGAGATGGAGTGAGATAGTCACTTAAGAAGTCACTTAAGAAGAGAGACCCATCTACCTTAATAACAATAATGAACAGTATTAAAAGGATAAAATAACTATTCTATTCTCTATATGTCAAACTCTGACAAATTGAAAGAAGGAAGCACTTTTGATACAGTCTCGACATCCTTATCCCCCCGCCCACTCAGACACAGCACGACGTTCTGCCCCTTGGGCATCTCGCGCGCGACCTTGACGACGCCCGCGACGGCATGGGCACTCTCCAGGGCGGGGATTATACCCTCGAGCCTACTGAGCAGACAGAATCCCGCTAGGGCCTCGCGGTCGTCGACGGCGATGAAGCGCGCGCGGCCGGAATCCTTCCAGTGAGCCAGTTCCGGGCCAACACCCGGATAATCCAGCCCGGCGGAGAGAGAGTGCGTCTCACGGATCTGCCCATGCTCATCCTGTAAGACGTAGGTGCGCACGCCGTGCAGGACGCCCACGGAGCCCCGGGAAAGCGTGGCGGCGTGGCGTGGGGTGTCAACGCCGTCACCCCCAGCCTCGACGCCCACCATCGCGACGGAAGGGTCATCTGCAAACGCCGCGAACATGCCCGTCGCGTTGGACCCGCCGCCGACGCAGGCGACCACCGCGTCCGGGAGGCGGCCGGCGTGCATGGCGCTGAACTGGGCGCGGGTCTCGTCGCCGATCACGGACTGGAAGGTGCGCACGATAGTCGGGTACGGGTGAGGGCCGAAGGCGGAGCCGACGATGAAATGCGTGGTTTGCAGATCGACGACCCAGGTGCGGAAGGCCTCGTTGACGGCGTCGCGGAGCGTGCGCGACCCGGTCTCGACGGGGATGACGGTTGCGCCCAGCAGGCGGATGCGGAACACGTTGAGGGCCTGGCGGCGCACATCCTCGGCGCCCATGAAGATCGTGCACTTCATCCCGAACTTGGCGCATAGCGTCGCGGTTGCGACGCCATGCTGGCCTGCTCCCGTTTCGGCGATGATGGCCGTCTTGCCCAGTCGACGGGCGAGCAGGATCTGCCCTAGCGCGTTGTTGATCTTGTGGCTGCCTGTGTGGTTGAGATCTTCGCGTTTCAGCCAGATGTTGGCGCCCCCGGCGTGTTCGGTCAGTCGGCTCGCTAGGTGCAGGCTCGACTCCCGCCCGATGTACGGGTAGAACGAGCGCAGCTCGGCCCAGAAGGCCGGGTCTGCCTTGGCGGCGTTGAACCCAGCTTCCAGCTCGGTCAGGCATTGCATCAGCACTTCCGGCACGTATTGGCCTCCAAACTGGCCGAAGCGGCCGTGCATATCGAGCAGGTCGGGCAGGGCGATCGAGGTAGCAGTAGGAGTAAGAGTAGTGGTAGCAGTAGGAGATGTCAAAGTATTACTTTTGCTACTGGGTGATCGCTGGGTGATTGCAGAACAGTATTTCTTCACGCTCTTTGCAGCATCCCCCGCCGCCGCATCCTTGATCACCGAGATGATCTGGCTGCCAATAACCACTCCCTCCGCGATGCGGGCGACGCTGAGAAAGTGCTCGCGCGTGCTGATGCCGAAGCCAACCGCCGTAGGCACGCGGTTCTCCGAGTAGACGTGGATTCTCTCCAGGAGGGCAGGCAGCGTGTCGCTCAGCGAGACGCTGGCTCCCGTCACGCCCATGCGGGAGACGACGTAGATGAATGAGTCGGCGATCTCGCAGAGCATCTTCATACGGTCGTCGGCGGTCGAGGGGGCAATCAGGGGGATATACGATAGTCTTGAGTATGTTAGCAAATAATTCAACCTCAATTACAAGTAGAAGATGAGAGATGAGGAATGGGAATGGGAATGGGAATGGAAACAAAAGAAGGACTATAACATACCCTACTCGTCTGCATTGATTCCTGAAACGAAGCGCTTCCTCGGGTGGGAGATCCACGATGATAAACCCACTCACCCCGGCCGCCTTGCAGTCATCCAACAGCTTCTCGTCCGATCCATACTGTAGAATGGGATTATAGTATCCCATGAAGACGACCGGAACGTGGAGTCCCTTCTGTCTTGCTGTCTTCACCATCTCCAGCATGGAAGAGATGGTCACTCCGTTTGCCAGGGCTTGCAGATTCGACATTTGGATCGTCTTTCCATCGGCAATGGGGTCTGTAAACGGAATCCCCAGCTCGATGATATCTGGAAAAGAAACATACTTCAGTACGCAGTGTCATATAGTTCCTCCTGTGAGAGTCTTACCTGATCCCCCCTCCTGCATGGCGAGCATGATATCCGGCGTCTCCTGGATAGAAGGATAGCCCGCCGTCACGTACGTGACGAGGGCGGCGCGGCCGTCGGCCTTGCAGCGCGAGAAGGTGGACTGGATATGTTCCATTTTGAGAGATTGATCGAATTGGACCTGTAGGGCCAGGAGAAGAGTTGTTGTGTTGTATATAAAGCTGTTGGCCTTTTTGTGCTGGGGTGACTCATAGTAAAGCCAGCGGTCCACTTTTCTATAAGAGTCATCATAGTTGTACTACCTTGACTAGTGCTTATAACAGACTCTGGAGAGTAGTTCAGTATATCGAGAAGGAAATAGGAAGCAGTAGTTATTCTTGATTGAATATATTCTCATTGTGTTCGTTGCTGCTGTTGCTGCTGCTGCTGTTGGGTATAGGCGGTTACAAGGGTCAAGCAATCGATTCCTGCTTCATATTGTTTCCCTTATGTACCTAGCATGCAGTAAGCAGTATTTCAATTGGAAGGAATATTATCAAAGGGTCCTTTTCTTGATTTATATTGGCATTTTCTCTCTCTGTCTGTGTAGACGAATAGGGGGGAGGGGTGATGAATATATACCTAGATAGTTAGAATTATAGGCAGTTAGGATTAAATCAAAGTCCTTACATGATGAACCTCATCTATTCCCTGATAGATAAACCAAAGAACAGCAATTAAAGCAGTGAACAGCCTGGCAAGGTTGACTCTCACCGGTCGACGTTGGGAGAGACGTTGAGGTTGAGTGAAGGTCAAGTCATGTGCCAGCCTCGTCTCTTCCTTCCAGTCCCCAAAATAAACCGACGTCCCCCTCAACTCTCCCTCTCCTTTTCTTTCTGCGTAAGAGAACGATCTGCCTGCTTTTCTTCGCTGAACAGGAGCAGGCACCCGTTTTATCGCTCATGAGACAGATACGGCAGATCGAAGATATTCCAATGTACGGTCTGGTAAGTGCACCTCGAGATGAGACACTGTTTAATCGAGAGATAGAGAGAGATTGGGTACGGAATTAGTAGCTGACACAGACCAAGGCAGTTGCAGATCGATTCCCCCGAGTGGAGGAGGGATTATCTCGTCGATAATAAGCCTTCTCATCCCGTTTCAAAGCGTTTGCCTACGCCATACCACTGGTCGAGAGGGCTAGATAAACCCCTCGCCATCTACTTCACGAAGAAATGACGAAACTCTACTTGTCGAAGGATAAAAAAAACTGCTTGGCGACTCAGGAGGTAAGTATAACCGATTACTGTGAGTCCTGTCGACGAGAATTATTATTGTTTCTGAGCTGACGCGTTCTCATCATCGCATAGATTTCCACATTAACCTAGCGCTTACCTCCTCGGCTCGAATCGCTATGTGAGAAGCGCCTGACGAGGGCTAAAGAAAGCAATTCGATATAGCGTTGATGCCTACTCGACGGGAGAAGTGTTTCCATAATACCATACCAATGATGAGTTGGGCAAGGCTGCCCACCCCCAGCCCAACGTGATGCTTACCGAAATAAGGAGACAACATGACCAGCGGTGAAGAAGAAGACAGCTCACTTCTAGTGACCTCATCTCAGCTGTCATCGCCGATACGATTACGATCCCAATAATAAGGATGATGATGATAAGTGTGTGCTGGTGGCTCTGTACAGCCACAGAAATCAAGTTTAATTTGAGTGGAGCTTCACTTAAAGCCACGCTGCCACATTCATCACGGGTAAGGGTCCATACCTAAACAATCCTCTGAGCCATGGAATTCATAGACAGCTTAAACTGATTTGACGACAATCTTTACCGAGCAGGTTTACGAGCCACGTCGCTTGCAAATTGCCAAGCGGCACCAGTGAGAATTGATGTCCATCCGTGCCACAGGATCATGCCACGAATACCACACCCCCTCCCAAAACACTGTTCAAGGGGATTCTAGCGGTAGCTAAATGGCTCATTCATTTCATGCTGTATTGCGTATGTCCGTGTGTAACGGCAAGGGCACAATCAAGGCCCGATGTTGACAGATCGCACTATCATTTATTTTCCTGCAGGGTGCAGGAGGGGAATCTCGATCAAGGAAAGAGATCACGATCAAGAAGATGTCCAAGAAGAGAGAAAAAAAAAAGGAGACTTTGTGCCAAGCACGAAGCTTGCGTCATGGCCATGCCCAACCTTACCCCCAGATAATAAGGATCAATTACCTGTTCCAGTATATACAACGTCGCAGAGTTGAAGTACTCTGTACGGAGCACGAGACGACCACTTTCACATCAGACTGAAACCTTCTGAAAAGACAGCGCCTGGGTACATGCAGATTATAAATACAGAGCACTACATGCTTCATGTTCAAGGCTATTTGATCCAGGAGCAAGGGGTACACTGACTCCACAGTCAATGAGACTTGAACTTTGATACATGAAAGGCGACTGGCCAGGAACTAGCCTCAGCCTATTAAGCGAAAACAATTTTCTGCCAGGGTTTGTGGCGCGGATCTCCTGTGTTTATCGAGCTGAATGCAGCAACTGATGCGCCTCCTTTTTTTCCTCGGATCGATCGTCAGTGGAATCCACTTCTGTGGCTGGTTCTTTAGAGTTTCTCGAGCGTATCAAGTTATCTGTCGTCGCCGCCCACCCCAGGTAGGTATCTCTTTGTCTCATTTTTCTTTGACATTTACTGATTTTTTGTTGGTCTTCTTCTCTCTTCATTTGTCCTTGACCCCTCCCCACGACCACCACCACCACCATCATCATGCGTGAGTTTTCTATTCTGTTGGCGAGAGGGCAAGTCTGTATTAGACGAAGCACACGAGAGACTGACTTGCACGTGCCAGACATCTATCGGCGCCAGGCGCGTAACCTAGCGTGGTATGACGAGGAAGGCGGCCCGCCATCGCGCAACCCGTTCAAGAAGTTCAAGGCGCACCCGCGACGGACGAATTCCATCCAGCTTGAGTCGCAACTGACCCCCGTACGCACTGAAGGAGACATTGAGTTGACCCCGGAACGGCACCGGCGGCGCATGATGGGCGAGGGTTTAGCGCCACCAGAGCATGCGGACACGTTTCCGGCCGAGTCATCGCAGCATGAAAGGAGAGAGGTCTCGCGGCCCGTCAGTCTTACGGACGATGAGAAGCCCGAGACCATCCCGTCGATGCGCAGCACGGACCCGATCAATGTCTCGTCCGCCACGGAAGCTCAGCGTGATCAGGAGCAGGATGATGGCGAGCTGCGCAAGAGACGGACTCAGACCAACATGGACCGTCTCCGCGCAGACAGCGACACGCTGACAACGACCGAGTCGCATATATCGAAGCCTGACAAGCAAAAGTTCACAGCCGTGGGACAGCTCAAAGCAACCTTGTTCAATTCCTGGGTCAACGTTCTTTTGATCGCCGCTCCTGTTGGAAGTAAGACAGCCGTTTGTCTATATGATTAGGGTTCCAAGACTGATATTCTCCAAAGTTGCGCTGAACTATGTGGATGTTCCTCCCGTGGCGGTATTTGTGGTGAACTTCATCGCAATCATGTACGCACATCCACAGGATGTCATATGAGATCGAATTACTGATTGACGCGATGATAGTCCACTTGCTGCCATGTTGAGTTATGCCACGGAAGAGATCGCCATGCGGTATGTACTCGTCCGGTTCTATCTAGGGCTGTTCTCTTGACTGTGGATGGCTGACGTGTGTTGAAGGACGGGAGAAACAATTGGCGGACTGTTAAATGCTTCTTTTGGGTAAGGATTTCTTTTTTTCTCCCATCAGGGTCTACCGGTTTAACCTTGACTGACAAATCCAAACTAGCAACGCGGTCGAACTGATTGTCGCGATCATCGCGCTAGTCGACGACCAGGTGGTGATTGTGCAGACGTCGTTGATCGGGAGTATGCTGTCGAACCTGCTACTTGTCATGGGCATGTGCTTCTTCTTCGGCGGGGTCAACCGCCTCGAACAGCATTTCAACCCCGTTGTGGCGCAGACAGCAGCCAGTCTGCTGGCATTGTCAGTCAGCAGTCTAATCATCCCTACTGCGTTTAAGACCTGGGCCGACGGTAAATCCCCTGGACTCCTTTCTGGTGTCATAGCTTCTAGATGGCCTTTCCCTGCTAACTCACATATCTGTAGCCGGGGAAGATGGTGTCGCCCCGTTGTCTCGCGGTAGGCTATTTTCCTCCCAACCTTTTCCAAGGAGAAGACGGATTGAATACTAATTGCATATAGGAACGAGCGTGATTCTGCTGGTGGTGTACGGTTGCTACCTGTTCTTCCAGCTCAAGTCTCACACGGAGATCTACAATGCGCCGAGCCCCAAGGTGGAGAAGCGGCGCAACAAGGTGGCCGAGGGGGAGGCGAGCAAGGGAATCGCGCGGATCGGGCAGATTGGAGCGTCGATGGCGGGCCAAAACGCGACGCAGATGACGATGCAGGAGTCGGAGGGTGAGGATGAAGGGGAAGAGCCGCAGCTGAGCGTGACGGTTGCGGTTGCCACCTTGGTCATTTCCACGGTGTTTGTGGCACTGTGCGCGGAGTTTATGGTAAGCCTGCGTCCACCGTTTTCCGTCTTTCTTTTTTTCTTTCTTTCTTTCTCATTTTTTTCCCCTTTTTTGATAGGTCGACTCGATCGATGCGATTACGGCCAGCGGCGGCATCTCGGAGACGTTTGTCGGGTTGATTCTCCTGCCGATTGTGGGCAACGCGGCGGAGCATGCGACGGCAGTGACGGTGGCGTGCAAGGACAAGATGGACCTGGCGATTGGGGTGGCGGTGGGATCGAGCATGCAGATTGCGCTGCTGGTGCTGCCGCTGGTGATTGTCATTGGGTGGGGGATGGGCAACGACGCCATGGTAGGTCAAGAAGGAGAGAAGAAGAGAAGAAGAAGAAGAAGAAAGAAGACATGCTAACGAGTGTAACTACGGTAGACTCTGGATTTCGATGCGTTCCAGGTCATTCTGCTTTTTGTGGCTGTTTTACTGGTAAGTCCCAGCCGAGGATAGAGTTGAGTACCCGAACAAGAGCTAGAGCGCCTCTGACTGATCCATCCAGGTCAACTATCTTATTGCCGACGGCAAGTCGCACTGGCTGGAGGGCGTGTTGCTGATGATGATGTACCTCATCATCGCCGTGGCTGCATGGTACGTCGTCTTCCTTACTGCTTACTGCTTCATTCCGCGCTAACCACCTGATAGGTTTTATCCCGCCCAGACGAGCTAAACGAGCAGAAGAAGAAGAAGAAGAAGAAGAAGAAAAGACGAAGAAAAAAAAATGTACTATTATCCGCCAAATTCACAATTTTCTCTCATTTCCTTTTGCCGATCGGGTGAAAACCGACCGAGCGGGAAACCGGACCGTGGTCCGAAAACGGAGAAAGGGAAGGCCACGGAGTCCACCTCTCTCTCAGTAGCCGTATTTCTTCCGGTGGGCTAGAGAAACGAATGGAGACAGACCAGACTCGTACTCGATGGTGGTGGGCGTTGACCTTTGTACGGATCAGGTTCCATATGCCCGACATGTCCGACATGTCCGACTGCTGCTCTGTAGGGCCCCTGCAGTGTGTGTGTCCGGGGGGAGAGAACCAACCACGCGACGGGAGGACGACGGACTCCCCGAAGACGACTCGCGGGCAGCAAGACCATTCCAGAGGGGGCTAGACTGTGAGACTGTGGGATAACTAGTAGTTACTCCGTCCTGACTCCATAGTCCTCCGTGGCAGCGTGGCTAGTAGGAGATTATTATTATTATTGTGGGTGGCCGACGGTTTTTCCGACGCTGTCCCGAGCCGAGGTCGCACTCCGTCCGTCACGGTCACGGGGTCGGTCCTAGTCACGGGACTGCGGGGCTCCACAGTCCGCGTCTGGAGATGCATAGAGTATACCTATATATATAAACTATCATATGTATATATATATATATATATATATCTATTAGAAGACATGTCTAGATAGATAGATATAGATATACACATAGGATATAGATAGATGAATAATGAGATTCCTCCGTATTCCATATTATATTGTCTAATTTCCATCTCCTCGGGCTTCCCCGGACGGGCTATTTTTTTGCCGCTGCCAAAGAACCGATGCTCCGATGCGGTTCACAAAGCGCAGACGGAATTTCCCAGAAACCAGACTCTTCTCAGCATCAAATGGCAAATGGCAAATGGCAAATGGCACCCCAGTCAGCTCGTATGGCATGATTAGACCAGGGACTACATAAGAAGACACGAAAGCCCAGTAATTTCCGGGCCACCTTCCCCAGCTTCGCTTAAACGCTTTCACCCGATCCAGGATTTACGGAGGAATAACAAAAATAAAAGAATAATAATAATAATAATAATAATACTCATAGTAAAATAAAATACGAAAATACACAATCTTACCCTATTATTATTAAATATCCCCCCCCCATTCGCCTGCAGCCGTCGGTTTTTCTCTCTCTTCGGCTCCCCACAACTCCGCGCTCGGCACACCGGCTTCACCGTCTCTCCACATTCTCCTTTCCTCGTGTCTCTCTCTCTCTCTCTTTCTCTCTCTCTTTCTCTCTCTTTCCCTTTGTCTCTCCCTCTTCCCCCCCCTCTCGTCTCCCTGTCTCTCTCTCTCTCGTTTCATCTTCGTGGTTGATCCGCGTCACACCGTACGACCGATGCCATACTGACGTGTGTGCGCAGACCCGTGGGACCCTGCGAGAACCCGATCGGAACGAACTTCCTTATTAACTGCTTGAGTTTGATTTCTTATTCTCAACAATATACACGAAAGAGAGAAAAAGAAAGAGAGAGAAAAAAAAAAAAAATGCGCTCCAGCATCGCCTGCGCTCGCTGCCGTCGCAGCAAGATCAAGTGCGTCAACAACGGCATCGACACCACCTGTCGCGCCTGCGAGTCCTCCGGCCGGGAATGCGTCTATCCCACCCCGGCGCTGGGCCTGCACGCCGCCAAACGAGATATCCACGCCCTGGTCGACGCCGACGATCGCGACTGGGACAGTCCCAAGAGGCAGCGCTCGCGCAAGGCCGTTGTCGCGGCCGCCGCGGCTGCCGCGGCCGCCGCCTCGCTCAAGGACGTCGCTGCCCACGACGTCTTGGATCCGACGCTGTTGACCGTCAAGGTCTGGGAAAGTCTGGCCGATCTCTTCCAGGCTCATTGTGCGCCTCTCCTGCCCTTCTTGCACCCGGCAAGCTTCCTGGCGCAGATCCGCCAACACCCGCCGACGTCTTCCCAACAACAACAACAACAACAACAACAACAACAACAGGACTCACCATCCCCGCTGGTTCTCCTAGGCGTGCTGGCGTTGACCGCACGCTATCACCCGTCCCTCGTTGCCCTGCACGCCTCCCCCCTGGCGGCGTCCGAGTTCTACGCCGCCGCTCTGCGCGCCAGACTAGCCGCCAGCGATCTGGCCTGTCGTCCGGAGCTCTCGCGGGTTCAGGCATGGCTGATGCTGGCCCTGTACGAGTGGCAGACGTGTCGGGCCACTGCGGCCTGGCTGGCCGTAGGCCTGGCCGTGCGGCTGGCGCAGGCGGCTGGGCTGCTGTTCGAGCTGGAACAACGGTCTGCTTCGTCGGCCTCGCTGTCGTCGGACGAGGTCATTCTCCTCGAGACCAAACGTCGCACCGTCTGGGCCTGTTTCCTGCTCGACCGTTGTCTGGCGAGTGGTCGCTATCGTCCTCGTCTTCTTCGCGCCCGGGATCTCGCCCTCCAGCTGCCGAGTGATCATGCCTTTGCTTTTGGTGAACGTGTCCGTACCGCCCGTCTACATGAACTACCGCCTAGAAGACCCCCTAGCTTTGGCGCAGGAGGAGTAGGTGGTTCTACTACTAGTGGAGGAGGAGGAGGAGGAGGAGGAGGAGGAGGAGGAATGCAGATCCCCAGTATACGGCAGAGTATCGCCGGATTACCACCAGAGTCCCCTCCCCAGGCGAGTATCGGCCCTGGAGGCCCCGACGAGGAGATCGACCGCTGGGAGGTGGGTGCCGAGGAGCCCGTGGTGAGCCGGGTGGTTCGCATCGTGCGCGTCTGGGGCAGTGTCGCGCAGTGGGCGTGTGCAGGTGGCCGTCGTGCTGAACATCTCCCAGCCTGGCAGGGGGATTCGCGCTTCGCCTCGCTGCGTGCCCAGCTGGCCGATTTCCACGATGGCCTCTCGCGCAACCTGCAGTACTCGCCGCGCAACACCGACACCCACATCATGTACCGCAACACCGTCGCCGCCTACACCGTCATGCACCTCGTCGCCTTCCTCGCCGCCCTCGTCTTGCACCGCTCCGCCCTCCCCTTTCTTCCCCTACGATGTACCGAGCCCGGAGGCCCCCCCGATGATCCCGTCGATGCCTCCAGCCCTGCCGCCGCCGCCGCCGCCAGACCGGAGGGGTTCTGGCGCGAAAGTGCCCGTGAGCTGGTCCGTACGGCCCGGCAGATCCTCGCCCTGGCCGTGACCTGCCACGAGCGAGACGTGCTGGCCGAAAACCCGCTGGTAGGATTCGCCGTCTACCAGGCCGGCCTGGTGTTGCTGTATGCCGCGCACTTTCCACACATGGATCCGGACAGCAACGGCATCAATCCTACCACTAATCCTACCGATTATTCCAACCTCGGCGCCGTCAGGAAGAGTCTGGAGATGCTTCGGGAGATGCGTCCGCGTCTGAAGATGGCGGCTGGTTGGTTCCGGACCCTGCATCGTCTGCACCGGTACTGGACCAAGGCACAGCGAGACTCGCCGCCTCCTCTCCTTCGTCGAGGCACCATTGTCGACCCTTCCCCCCCGGACGAATGGAAGCGGCTTGACAAGTTCTTTGCCGACGGGGGAAGACCAGAAGACCAACTCCTCCCCGACGAGGAAGACGAAGGCCGCAACCGGGTCAACAGCGTGAGCGACCGCATGAACAGCCTCAGTGACCGGGTCAATAGTATCAGTGATTCCGGCAGCACCACGGCCAACAATGTGGTCAAGAGCGAGGCCAGCGTCGACCTGTCGGACCATGACCCCCGCCGGGAATCATGGGTGCCTGTGAATAACACGACGACGACGACGACGACGACGACGAATAACACCAACAATCCCACGGGCAGCCCCAGCATGACACTGCCCTTGCCCGATGAACGGCGGCCGAGTCTGCCCTTACCAAACAACCCGGGCAGACCGTCTTTCTCCCTTCCCTCGCTGCATCTCAACCCGGACGGATCCCTCTTCAACAGCGGCAGCAGTCCACCCAGTCTTCCCTCGTTGACGGCGCCGACGTCCTCCTCATCGCGCCTCCAGTCTTTCAACTCGATCTTCCCCCCTCGACCATCGCCACAGGCACAGTCCCAGACACAATCACAGACACAGTCCCAGACACAAGCTCAACAGCAACATCCTCCGCAGAGTCAAACACCACCCACTCTTCCCTCCATTGCAGGGCTCTCGATGCTCCCTCGCCCAGTGTCGACGTACCCGGCCGAACACTGTCTTCCTCCTGACCCGGTGACCTCGAACATGAACATGACCGTCCCCCTGACCGTGCCCTCGCCCATGCACATGAACATGAATATTCTCGCAATGAGCTTCGGGGGCGACGACGTGATTGCCTTTCTTGCAGGGAGTGAGGCGGATTCATGGGGGAACATGACCGCCTCCTCCGAGGGGGTTCCCATCGGCTGGATGAATGCTATATGGAGATGATTTTTTCTTTTTCTTTTCTTTTCTTTTCTTTTCTTCTCTAATGATTTCCCTACGATTTCTTTGGATATGCTGGGCGGAGTATGGAAATGTACCATGATATGGATGGATATGGATTCATGATAGTCTAATGAACCTTCAACACTATTATACTCTCTCCTCTCCTAGTAATCCTTCTAGCTACACAGAACAACCCGTCCGGTACTTCGTATCTCATACCGAAGGGTGAACTTCTTTTCTTCACCGGGCAATAACTGCGTGGTCCACTTGATCTGGCCAGCTCTTTCACCAGTACTTTCTTCTTCTTCTTCTTCTCTCTCTTCTCCACAGTCAACGGTCAAGGGGTCCAACAGGGTGACTTTGACATCCTTGTCTGTGGGGACAGGGATCTGCTCCAGAACAAGCAGGCGAGATAAGGGTTCCGAAGAGGTATTCCGCACGGTACACACGCGGGTGAAACGGGCCGACTCCTCTTTCTCCTTGAAGAAGCCGGCGGTGGCGGTCCCTCGTTCGAGAGTGGGCCCGGTATACGAGACTTGGACTGTGGGATCCACGCCCAGCGAGAGGGTAAAGTATTCGTTTGGGGCGCAGGGCGGCATCTCCCTGTTCCCCAGGAAGGTTGAGTCGAGGGTGATTCCTGTTTTGGCGCGGAGCAGGGCGGTGGCGCTGTTTTGCAGTCGGGCTTCGATCATGGCGGCCCGGCGCAGTTTGGGGACGACCACTCTCCGCAACGAAAGGGAGGGGAGCGTGAGTTGCGAGAGGATGTGGCGTCGGGAGATGCTGCTGGGTGGTAATGTGCGCATCCCGAGATTGTAGGTTGTCGTCAGGCCGTGCTCTGTGCGGAGCGAGTCCAAGGGGATTTCTGGAGCTGGCTGAGTTGATCCAAAGGGACTATCTTGGGCTGGAGCTGGGGCCCCGAAGAGTCCAGGTGCTGGATCTGGAGCCGGAGCCGGAGCTTGAGCTTGAGCTGGAGCCTGAGCTGGAGCTTGAGCTTGAGCGTAACCTTGAACTGGGGCTCCAAAGAGTCCAGTTGCTGGAGCTGGAGCTGGAGCTGGAGCTTGAGCTGATCCAAACAGAGATTTAGCCCGTCCACCTGCAGCTATAGCTTGAGATCCGAATGGAGATGATGCCTGGGTAGCTGGTTGAGCAAAAGCTCCACTCGCCGGTCTGAATGGAGCTTGAAGAGCCGCAGGTTTTCCAAATAGAGGATGAGGTTGAGCTGACTGCTCCTCCCTGCTCTTCATCCCCCCCTCCCAGAGCCCTGCCTTCTCGTCCTCGCTTGCAAGCCGGATACGCCAGGGTTTCAGCGTAGGAATGCGCTCGTCCAGCCCGGAAAACACCGCCTGGGACGAGCTGAGGATGACCTTGGCGTCACGCCAGGTTTCGGAGGTTCCATTGTGGTATTCGGCGCGGTAGACCAGTTTTGCAGACGACGTCGGTGTGTTGATGTTCAAATCGTACTGGGCGCGCCAGCCCGCCCGGGGCACCATGTAGCTCAGCCGTAAGGCTGCTTCTCTTTCGGTGTCGTTATCGGCGTCATCTTCGCTTTCGACCTGACAATCTAACAGGATAGTAAGACGGTAGACAGCGTGAGGGCGGAATCTGCGTCGTTCGTCGCGTTCCCGACGGCGCTGATGCGCGCGTTGCTCAATCTGGCGTCGTCGCTGCAGTCCCTCACGCTGAGCAAGCCTAGACGCGGCCTTTTGGCTTCTTTCCCACGCGTGTTCCTCTTTCTGGACGGTGCGAGCGAGTTGGGCGATCTCCCGTTCCAGGTCTGTGATCTCCTCGCCGGCCTGGGCGTGGCGGACATGCTCTGCTGCGCGCTGGTCATGGTAGAATTCTATAAAGGTCGCCAGCTGGGCGGTTTCGACTTCGGCAGCCTTCATGCCCAGGCCGTACTGGTCGAGGAAGCGCAGCGACGCGGTCGCAGCCGCCTGGTTATCCTGGGCGTGCGCCAACGCTGCCTGGCGGGTTCGGAGCGACTGGCGGGCCTCTTGCAGCGGGAGAGGAATTGTTTCGGTTTCTCTATCCTCTTCTTCTTCCTCCTCCTCCTCCTCTTCTTCTTCCTCTTCTTCTTCGTCGGCTTCACTGTCTCTCGGGACTAGCTCTGTCTGGGTGTCGGTGATGGTCGCTGGACCGGAGCCTTCAAGTCGGATAGACTCGAGATTGACGAGGGGGTCAATTCCATCCACGATAATTTCATTGAGGCCGGGCTAGTCGTTAGAATAGAAATAGCATGTTATGAAGATCTAGCCTACCTTGATGGATATGTTGATATCTCGGACGACTGTTGCTGTCGTAGGGTGGAAAGTGACGGAGGTGGTGGGGAGGGAGGAGATATCGTAAGGCATATTGAATGTAGAATGTAGAATAATAGATAGAATGATAGAATGATAGAATGATAGAATGATAGAATGATAGAATGATAGAATGATAGAATGATAGAATGATAGAATGGTAGAATGGTAGAATGATAGATTAATTAGATGAAAGAAGATGGATCAAATAGAGTAAAATTATGAATACGAACGGACTGGGCTCCTCCGCAGGCAACATATTAGAAATAACTAATCTTTTATTGACAGCATAATATATATTCTCTATTCTCTTAATATTCTTCTATCTATATATCTTTATCTATATATCTTTATCTATATATCTTCCATATACTTTATCTATATATAAAGAATGTATCCCTTGTTACACATACTTCAGGCAACTGTATCCCTTCTCTTCTTCTTCAATCCATCATTTATTAACTGACATGACTTATTTATCTCTCCTAGCCATGGCTACTGCTACTGCAGCAGCAGCAGCAGCAGAAACGCTGTATGCCTCCCACTACAACGGCTCCGTCTACGCCTTGTCCCTACAAAACACCTCCCTCTCTGTGACCGCTGAACTGCGCACCTGTGGCTCCATGCCCAGCTGGTTAACCCTCGACGCGAGAACAGAAACCCTCTACTGCGCCGATGAGAGCGGAAGTCTCGCGCAGGGGACCAATGGATCGCTGACTGCTCTCTCGGTGAACCCGTTGGCTGAGATGGTCAAGACAGAGACTCTCCCGGGTGGTGTAGCCAGTCTCATCTACGACGACCGCATCGCAATTGCTCATTAGTAGGTTACATTCATAGAAAATAAGCATTTGATAAGTACTAATTGTTTTGACTGACCTTTCAGTGAGGGATCTGCCGTGTCAACTTTCTCCCTCCCATTACTTCCCTCCTCCTCCTCCTACCAATCCTTCACGTACGAACTTGCGACCCCCCTCTTCGATCCGGTCAGACAGGACGCACCACACCCGCACGACGTCCTTTTCGATCCATCGGGGGAGTTCCTTCTCGTTCCTGATCTGGGAGCGGACGTGATTCATCTGTTCAGAAGGGCGGAGGAGCGCCTGGAAGCCTGTCCGGATCTTCCTGTCCGAAGGGGAGATGGACCCCGCCACGCTACGTTCTCAAGAGGGTATCTATATGTTTCGAATGAGCTGGGGCGGACAGTAAGCGTTTATGCTGTCCACTACGGAGATTGTCTGTCCATACAATTGATTCAAGAAATAACCCCGTACCCGACTGCCTTACCTTCGGGCGCTACCCCGGCTGAAATCAGAGCGCGGGAGGGGAAAATCTACGTTTCTATACGCAGCGACGCGGCGTTTGCCTCCATGGACTCAATCGTTACTCTGTCCGGCGATGACCGTGGATTGTTGAGCTTTACTGCGATGACTTCTTCGGGGGGGACCGTCCCGCGTACGTTTGATATCAATAAAGAGGGGAACCTGCTGGCCGTGGGAAATCAAGCGAGTAGCTGCGTGGCTATTCTGGAGAGAAATGTGCAAACCGGTGAGCTGGGAGATGTTCTTGCTTCGATACAGGTTGGGCCGGAGGGTGTTGCAGGGACGTCGACTGGTCTGAGTAGTGTCATTTGGGGAATCAACAAGATATAGTAGAGACAAAGAACAATATAATAGGTAGTCATCATTCGTATCTAAGGCCAGCTTTTATAGGACCAGTCCTATAACATAACAACATAACAGAACATACATATATATACTCATACGATCAACGGAAATCCAACTGAAACGCTTTCCATTTCCCGCCTACCGTGCGACATCGCGGACACCCGCGCGGGTTGGGATAACTCGTTGGCCCGCGCGACAGGCCGTTGCCCAGACTCGAAGTCACGCTGAGGAAGGAGACCGGCGGGCTGCTGATGAACATGCCCACGCACTCGCGGCACACCCCGCAGATACACTCCGTGCACGCGTAGCAGTCGGCCAGCGCCCACGGCCGCTTGCAGTGCGCGCAGTAGATCTGGATCTCGCGCGGGCGCGCAAACGTCGACGGCGTGGGGTTCGAGAACCGGTGCTGCGGCGGCCGAAGTAGTCCCGGCCCGGGGCTGGAGTCGGCAAAGTTCTTGCCGGACGTCGACGACTGCGAATCCAACGACTCGATCGACGGGAACGGCTCCAGGTCCGAGTCGCGGCTGCGCGGGAGCTCAAACGGCGGCGGGGTCAGCGACTTGTGCAGCGGCGACGCCGTGTACGATTGCACCTGTGCTGCGAACGGGCGCGTGGGTGCCGGTGGAGGAAGGCCTTGGAAAGCCGGCGGGAGTGACGACCGGTGCTTCATCGGCGCGGACGTCACGCTGCTGACCAAGGGGGGCATAGTGGGGGAGGCGGCCTATTCTTTAGAAATAATACCATGTAATAAAAAGGACAGAGAAATACCTCTGATCGGTCATCATCAACCTCGGTGGCTGAGGTGGCAGCCTCGATGAGATCCTCCCAGCGTTTGCCCTGGGCCCACGCGGCGGCCTGCGGTTCGGCCGACAGGGCTTTGCGTTCGCCCAGACTAGGCCGACGGCCAAGTTCCTTGGAGCGGATGCGTTCATGTTTGCGACGGGCGTTGGACGTGATGGAGGACTTGCGGGGTGGTTTGTCACGCCGTTGGATCGGCGGGAGGGTGGACGAGCGATGCAGCGGCGAGGGGCCGCCCAGAATCGACGATAATAGATCCCGTGGACGCGGTGTAGCAAATGGGGGTAGCACCTCGTGCTTGAAATGGTCGCGGATCGAGGGCAATTCGATCGAGGAGCGCATGCGCTCGCGGGTGAGCTCGTTATCGGAATGTGCATCCTAAACGTCAGCATATATTAGCATACACACACACACACACACATACACACTCCCTCAAGCTACATACCATGTCCGTTTCCCAGTCCGAAGCTAGGCGGTTATGATGCAATTGGGCGAGGGCGACGGCCGCAGTGGCCGCAGCTGGATGGGCGTCATCCATGGGACGCGGGGTGGCGGGGGAGCTGGCATCGGCAACGTAGATATCACGGTCGAGGTCTGATCGTTAGCTTATCTGGGTTCCTATCGATCTCCGCTATTTAATCCATCTGCACCCACCATGTGCATGTCGCGAGATAGGATCTGGGGGCGACAGATGAGCTCGTTGGTCGGGCGGAGTGTTGACCATCAGCAGGAAGCTCTCCTCGGTGGCGGGTAGCTTGGGGATGTAGTGGTTGGGGTGCGCCCGACGGATGTGCTCCTGCATGGAGCGATATCGCTTCTCCTATATCAGGTGTCAACAGCATTTCTCTCCTATTTGTGCACATGTATGTTTGCGTGCGATATTGTGGTGTATCTGTGTTGAATGCTCGAGCTAAGCTGCGCCCGGTCGGCAATAGAGGGAGGAGGAGGGGGGGGGGGGCGAAAGCGAGAGGAAAGACTCCAGTCTTTCCACACTCTCGACAGCTTCCTCGATTTCAACAATTCAACAATCATTCTAGAGAGACTCACGCCGAGACATCGCTTGCGACAGTTGGAACCATCGTTGTTCTTCAGTGGACAGACGACCTCGTTGTTGGCGTCGGTGACGGAGAAGGAGCCGGTGAGCGAGGCCCGGGGGGGCATGTTGTCGTAGATGTAGTACTGTAATTCGAAGAGTCGATTGGAACACAGAGCAAAGTAGTAGCGAGTCAGTGAGTCGATAACTGGATCGACATTCCCAGGCGTGAGGTTAAATCGAGTCGATCGAGTCGGTAAATCTCGAGGGAGAGTTTCGAGGGGGAGGCGAGAGGAGGAGGAGGAGGAGGAGGTGGAGGGGGAAAGGCGGGTTCGTTCGCCTTCGGGAATCCAGCCAGGCGGGATGTGAGAGACCCAGTCCAGTGGGGAGGGAGGAATGTGAGCAGAAAAGGAACAAAAGAAAAAAACGAGAACAGCGTTGCAGCACTAATCAGATGAATAGCTTGCGATTTAGCTCGACTCGACTCGACTGGGGGG